GAGGTCATCCATCAGGTCGATAAGACCTTAGCCTTCTAAGGCTTTGTAACTTCCATTTGCTGAAATTAATATATTGTTTATTTTCCCTTGTTGGTTTTTGAAGGGAATTTCTCACTACTGGATTTCTTCCTTTTCCCAGGGGACGAAACCGGACATGGAAGACAGATGGCCCAACCCGGTGCACGATCCAGGCACGGAGGTCCTCCTTGATGTGAGCGCTCAAAACCCTCGTTGTCCACTTTGGGTAGTTCTACTTCCTGGTTGAATAGGTATAGTAATCCTTACAGACATATATATATATATACAAATATAATCCTGTAGTAGATTATATATATATATATTCGTAGAACCGAATGGTCAATGGCTGCAACGGGTTCAGGTGAACTTTGACGCCCGCTACGGCAACGTGCACCGCGTCTTGCGGGAGGAGGCCATGCTCTTGCTGCGGCAGCTGCGGGCCTCCGACTCCGGAGCCTTCCAGAAGGCCGCCAAAATGGTGCGAAACCAAGCCGGGCTTTTTTTGTCAGGGGAACCTCCCCCCAAAATGAACCTTTTTGTTAGGGGAACCTCCCCCCCCCTCTTCAATCAAAAAAGGGGGCTGTTCAGGAAGTCAACTGATTGTTGGGCGGTTTTTAGTTGGAACCCCTCAGAATGTTTTTTTTTTGGTATCCCGTTAAAGCTTCAAAATGATGGCCCATTATTGGCTGCGTTAGAAGGCGGTAAGGAGCTTTAAGCAACCAACACCCTGACGTGCCTGCAAGGCTGGGGGAACGAGCATGATTGTGTAACACCGACAACCCTCGCATGTGTGTGTGTGTGTGGCACTTTCGAGTACTTGTATACCCCTCACATTTGGGCGTCTTTGCATTTGCCCAGAGTTCGAATCGTTTTTTGCGGTCGCCATGTGTTGTTTTTGCCAGGCAAAGGAGGTATTCAGTTGGGCCGATTGGCTGAATGTGGATGAGGGAGCTGACATAACGCTGATGATCACGCTCTCCTGGCTGACGGATGCGAATGACGTGGACCTGCACGTCATCGATCCCAACAAGGAGTCTACTTTCGGACCTCGATGGGGCGAGAAGGGGTTGCGGTTTTTGCTTTTTGTAAGGGAGAGTAGCAAACAAGACTCAGCCTGAAGCATCTCAGCAATGTGACGAGCTGGTTCAGAGATCCTGTTCCGAGATGGCTAAGCATTGTGTGGATCCCAGGCTGTCCGCATAAGCCAGGGTATAGGCATTGAACATAACTTGCATGAGTTCCAACATCTCAGTGGGTGAGTTTTGTGTTTGAGGGTCACCTTTTCAACTTTCAGTGTGGTTTAAACTGAAACCAAAAGGCACGGCGTCATATGTGTGCTTTGAATTGGGGGTCGCCTTGTTTTGGAACCGTGCGTTTTTGCACTGACAGTCAGCTCACTTTAAGATAAAGAGCTCACCCACGATGAACATCCATCAATTGCTGAATGATTCCTGCTCTCAGGCGAATCAAAATCAAAGGCATGGTTGGTTGACTTTGTGGCTTTCCCTCAGATCGGCTTCAAAAAAGGGTATCATGACAGGAGCCACACCCAAATGGAATCAACCGTAGCTTCAGACCCAAGCCTTTACCCGTGGGGTAACTTACCTACAAACAGAAACGAAGGCCTTCCGAAAGGCAATGATCCATTCAAAGCAAAAGGGAACCTGGTAGAGACCAACCAACCTGCTTCGCACACATCTCCTCGACAAATGATCGGGTTTTTTTGGCTTCCTCTACCCCACTCCCACAACCCTGGTTCCCTGCGTTTCAACCATTTGCAGGCTTGTTGCCTGAGCAACTTGCATAAATGGACTCTTCTTGCTTCTTTGGCCAACCCTCCTGAGTAACGCTTCAGTAACTTACGATCAACAGACCCGCCCCATCCTCCTTCCCCCCCTTTTCCCGCTTACCTTTCCGTGCCTTTACAGCAGCAAGAAACCCTAAATGTCACCACCCACCTTCCCCTTGCATCCTCTTTACCCCCGCCCTTGGAAAGCAGATCAAACCAAACAATAAACCCTAAGCCTCATCCAATCCCCCCACAAGCCACCCCCCACAAGCCACCCCCCACAAGCCACCCCCCACAAGCCACCCCACACCCCCTTTCCCCAGAAACCTCCCCCCCCACCTTGCCTCCCCTCCCCAAACCAACCACCCCTCCCCCCACAGGAGGAGTGCTACTACGGCAACAGGCTCACCGCCTGGGGCCTCGAGCTCTACAGCGACCAGACCCAAGGCCTCGGCCCAGAGCTGATCTCCCTCACCCAGGCGAAGAAGGGCACCTACCAGGCGAGACGAAAGCTCTCGGACTAGCCCCCAGTTCCCTTTCTCACTTTCTCTTCTTTTTTTGGTTGAAATAATTCGGTTCCCGTACCAAAATCGACAGAGAAAAGGGTACCAACTGATTCTAACCGCTCGACTGGAGGACTAGTGGAAATCCCAGCGCCACCTAGCCGGGGTGGTCTTCTGGGAATGGGTTTCTGTTGTTTTTGTGTTGGTTGTTTTTGTTTGCCCCCCCCCGGTGTGTTCGGTGTGCTTTTTGGTGTTTTGGAAATGGGTATGTTTTTATTTCTTCTTGGAATGGCTTTCCTTTTTTTTTCTTCGGTGTGTTCGGTGTGTTTTCAGTCTGTAAACAGCCAGAAAACCAGACCCAGGGGAGAACCACTTGCTCAATGCCAATTCGGGTAGATGAAGGTTAGGGACAATCCCAACCATAAACAGGTGCGGCCGCCTTCTTAATTCTTTATATGGTTCTGGGTAGACCATTTTAGTACCAGTTTTGATTGTGACTCAGGTGTTCTTGGGTTTCTGTTTTTGTCTAGGGAACCCTCCAAAGTGTTTTTTTGTTGGTTTCACTCTTTAAAACAACCACACCTTGTTGGAATGGGTTTGTGTTTTTTGCAGGAACCCTCCAAAGGGTGTTTCGGCTTCCCCGGCAAAGCCTAAAAAGTGCATCGAATCTAAGAGGGGGACCGGGCAACAGGTCTCCAAAACTGAATCCCGTCCGAGCGCTGAGCCCGTCCCGTTCCATCCGCAGTCAGGTCGGGGTGAAGTACTTCAGCACGGGCGCTATGGGTGCGTCTCGTGGCTCCGTGGTGATCCGGAAGCTCTCCAGAAACTTTTTGTGTTGTTGTTTTTCTTTCTTTCGTTCATGCCCCTACTCCAAATGGCTGTGGGTCAAAACCAATGGTACAATTTTGGGGTAGGTGCACCATCCATTTTAGTCTATAATTGGCATGTTCACTGGGGTACGGGGTTTTGACCCATGGCCAAATACCCGCTTGTTTGAGAATTAAACACAAATGGGTTTCCATGGAAAATGCGTATCTTTAGTTGGTAAAGTTTGTAGGGTAGTTGTTTTGAACACCTTGATAGTATGCGGAGAAGGGGATGGTTCTTTCAACAAATTGTCGAAGTGGCATGACACCTTTCTAACTCGTTGCCTGGTTGCTTTCCCTCATTGGTTTTCTTTCAAAGCTTAGCAAACCAAACGGACGCCTTTTTTGTTGCTTTCGCACTTGTCCCTTTATGCTTGTCCTTCAGTTTCTTTTTCAACCAGCCCAAGAAGACAGATTCTTGCAGTCGGGTTTGCACACCTTTCTCTCTCTTGGAACCTTTTTGGTTTCAGTTTCCCCTTCGAAGTTGTCCCAACGGTACTTCGACTTTTCGCCAACGGGCGTTTTAGATTTGGCACCCGGCAAGTCGGATTCCGTCCATCCGACCAGTCAGGTGCGATTTCCGCACCTGTCTCGGCAAGTGCGCCGGTCCGGCAGTTTCGAGTGTGAAAGTCAGAGACCGGGGTGGTGTCCAAAGCGTTGCATCTACTTGACTGTTAAAGATCAGAGCCATTCCGTTCAGGACCCAGGTGTACGCCATGCCGTTCAGCCCCCATTTCAGGACCCCAGGCAGGCCCCAGGCCCCAGCTGAGGAAGCTGGCGTCGGGGCTGCTGACGGAGTCCAAAGTCCTCACTTTCACCTTGCCCTCCGGACTCAGCGGGGTCTTGCCCGTGACCACCGTCGTCGTGTAGGTCTTGTAGGAAGCCACGAGCAGGATTTGACGGGGAGAAGATCTCATGGGGGCTTCAAGTTGCCACATTTGCCACTCAAAAAACGCATCATGCTGTTTGCCATTTTTGTAGTTGGGAGAATGGGGGGGTGAAGTTGCCACTCAAAACAGAGCCTGTGGGGGATTTAGGAGGAAATGGCTTGGGTTGTAGGAACCCATATTGATTTCGGGAAATTGGATTCTTAGAATCCTTGGACCCAATGGCATGGTCGTGAAAATGAAGTTTTAAGGCAGGCCAGCGGCCACTTTCTGTGATACCCTGGGTCATTCAAGCCCATGGGATAGTCACAGGGAGGCTGGAGAATCCACGACCATCCTCGCTTGCCAGCGCAACGACCGGACCTTGTCTGGCGTCTGAGAACATGTTTGCAGGTTGACGAAACTTGTGTCCAGCTCAGACCTTCCAGGTCTGTCGGGCAAGTGAGGAAATGACGTTTCTCGGGAGGTTCCGTGCACCAAATGCCCTTGGGGCCACCTTAGGCTATGGATCTAACATGGATGTAGGATAAATGAATATATATATATATATCTATTTGGAGCACCTACCCCGAGCATTCCCTTCAAGGCGATGCGCTGCCACCGAAACCAAAGCCACCACGCCAGGAAGCGAATCCGGTCCGTGAGTTTTGGTCGCCGCGCTTCGCAGGGATTCGCACGACGAACAAAAAGGAGCGGTCGCAAGGCCACTGCTTGCCCATGAAAACCACGTTCAACCCTTTTTTTTTCGCGGCCCAGAAGAATTTTGGCGGCTTCAAGGGTGGTCAAAGTCAGTTGGCCAAGAATTGGATGAGGTCTCAGCGCATACAAACGCACTTGGAGAGTGGGGACTAGCACTCCACCATGCAATTCTTTGCTCCTTTTCACATGACCAAGTTGGGTTTGACGTCTCCCACCCCAGGCCCTTGGCTGTTGCCAGGGCGAGCCCACCAGCGGGAGGCTGGACTCACGCACGGCTCGGTTTCTTCTCGCGATCCCGGGAACCCCCGGTCTGGAAATCGTCCAGTTGCCTGAACTCCTCCAGTTCTGTCTGAAGGAGTGGTCTTAAACAATATCAGATATATCATGTTGGTTGCAAGGTGCATGTCCTTTCATGCCTGAGCCTCACAAAAATCAAGGGATGGGCCCAGTGGTACTTAACACTGGCTGCCTGGGTGTTTCACTAAGAAGCCGGAGCCCTCCAAATGGGCCGTTTCCTGTTTTGGCCTCCCTTTAAAATAATGCAAACAAGGGTCTGCCATTTTTTTGCAGACCCCCCAATGCGAATTCCTGCGACCTCGCTGCTGTGTGCCCTCACGCCGGCAACAGAAACATATTTCGGACACCCCATTGGGAGGGTCCCCAACATGGGGGCACATCTTGGGTTTCTCCATCCTCTGGCCATCTGCGTGGTCGAACCCTGACAGTCTCAGAAGCCTAAGGGATGACCTTTGGTTGTATGAGAACCAGTAGGGGTTCACCACCAGCCAGCCCCAAGCAGCTTGCTTTGACCACGGGACCGTGGCAAAAACAAGAGCCATGGGGTCTAAAGGCCACCCTTTCAGGCATCATGGTGGTGACTGTGTCTTTTGAATCGCACACCTCATTCTAATCTTCCTCAGGACCAGGAAGTGTGGCACTTCAGGCCATACAAAAGTCGCACTGAGGTGGAGCAGCCTTAGCCGCTGTTCTTTGCAGATGTCCGGAGCTGCCGGCAGCCTGTGGATGAGCCAGCTCCCAAGCCTGAGGTTGGGAACTACTTGGCCTGGAAAACCCACCCCACACAACCCCTGCTGGTTTCCTTTTGCGCCAGGGTGAGTTGCTTGCCACAATGTTCCCTTTCACTTTTTGTTGCATAACTTAGCCTTGCAATACTCTCAGATCGAAAGGCTTCATCTTGAAATTAAAACCAGTGGTTCTCCCTTGGTCCAAAGGTTCCAAAAGGTACACGGGGTCATTGGGCACCTGAGAGCACCAAGATCCGCGGAAGGTGCACATGTTCTTGGACTGCGGATTGCTATTGGGAACCTGCACGCTTGAACTGTTGTGGTATATATAAGTTTGCTCCCCCGCACACAGCAACACAGAGCATCAAAATTAATGCACTGGACAACCTGCACCCGCTGGCATGACCGCAGCCCATTCTCCAGCTGGTTGTTCAACCAGCTTCGAAGTTGTTGGCCAGTTGGGGGGGGAGTCCGAGGTGAGCCAGAAGCAACACCCAAAGTAAAGGTTGTGGCTCCAACTGCAAATGGATGCGCATACCCGTCCCTCGATTCTTGATGTGAATTTGGAGACCACTAAAAGAAATCAATGAGGTGTTGATTATGACTCACTTCCCCACAAAACTCACACGGAACCCAAAAGGGGTTCAATCTCCCAAAAGCAGATTCCTGTGGATAGTTGTGCTTTTGGGCTCCATGTCAATTTGCGGGACATGCAACGCGAAGCCTACCCTCAATTTGCGGTTTGGATTGGTGGTTTGCAGCTTTTGGTGGCTTCTAGCAAGAACCAGAGCTTCAATCGCGAAACCACCAAGGCACCAATTGGGGATGATTGGTCCGAAGCGTCTTTTGATATTAGGAAATTGTCAAGTAGAAGGCCATAGTCCAATGGTATCAAACAGAGGTAATTGAAGAATCCATCACACTTCGGATGCACCCTCCTCTCTTGCACATGTTTGGCCATGGTTCAAAATCAATGGTACCATTTTCGGATAGGTGCACCACCCATTTTAGTCTATTTTAGTTGGGATTGGGATGCTCACTGCTGGTACGGGGTTTTGACCCACGGCCGTTTGTAAAATGAGTGGTGCAGGGCACTTGCGACTATAGGCTGTACCTCCAGGGGTTGGCCCAGTCAGTTGCCAACAGCCAGGGCCAGCTTGGGAGTATAATCACTAAGGTATCTAGGAAGCCAGCAGGATAATCAGCAGGATCCCCGTTTTTTTGGGGCTGTTTGGCCAACTTCAAAAGAAGCCGGTAGAATTTCCATGCAGATGGTTGAAAGTACACCCCTTTCCCGGAAGGTTGTTAGAGTCTGCACCCGGTCTTTCGGCTGTCTTCTCTTGGCTTCCTGAAAAAGCCTGTTAGGCCGGACCAACTTTCGCCTCTCTTTATGGGTGTGTGTGTGTGTGCGTGTGTTTTTAGGGGAACCCTTTGTTGGTTGTTTCAAAGGAAAACCAAAATCGCTTCAGGTGGGCCGGGGGGGGGGGGGGGCTAGAAAAAGACACCCATATTGGATTGTCAGGTTTGAGAGGTTTAAGGACCGAGATTGACCGAGTGCCTTATCCTAATGGGCTGAAAACCGTTCATACACACACGTGTGAATGTCTATATGTGTAAATATGTAGTAGGCGCAGTTTTCCCATGTGCATATATCGCTGTACATATGTGTATATATAACATGTGCATATATACATACTCGTCCAAAGATGATTATTGTAGATCCTTGCCAGGGCCTCTCCGCCTCATCTCCACTCCAGGCCGCCAGCGGAGAGAGTTGACGGGGAAGTACGAGGCGCGCGGCTTTTTGCGCACGAGACTCGAGGCGCGTCTCAAAATGGTTCTCTAAAACTCTAGGGGTACCTCCCCGATTCTTTCCAGGGATCCTTTTTTCTAGAAATCCTCCAGAAACCCGGGGAAAACGGCAGAATTTCGAAAAGAACGATGGTTGAAAAGAATGGGGAACCAACCAATAGAAAAACAGATGGTTTGCCAGGCGTTTGCCATCTGTTTTGAGGCAGCCACTATGAGTTTCCCGGTGGTCCGTTTCCACTTAACTGACAACAAAAGGCGGTGCACCACTTTGAGAAGCCCCTAAAAGTCATATTCCACGGGATACGTCGTTCCACCATTCTCGTTTTCGGGGCTGCGGATGGTGGAAGCTTTCCTTGGAAGCGTCCTGTGCTCGCGCCTCTCAGGCAGCTACGCGGAGTTTCCATGGGGTGGCCGTGCAAACAGAAGCCGAAGACGAGGATGCAGTGTCGCATTTGAGCATCAGGGCTGGTGCCCGACCCTCAAAGTCAGGCTGATGTAGAGCCGTGGCAACCTAATTAATAGTGGCTTTCAACAAAAAGGGGTCAATACAGACCAAGTGCCAAAACCTTACCGTACTGGAGACGCCGGCTGGTCATGGAATGACCCCTGTCACTAACCCTATCGTTTGCCAAAACGGGTGGTTCTCTGTAGCCAATGACCGACATGCCAATTGAGTGCTCCCGTGATGGGCATGTTGTCGAACCCCTGAAGGGACAGCAAGATTTCCAGGGGTTCGTTTGACCCGAATGGCTGCCTTCAGAGCCTATGAAACGTAAGCGTGTGGGGCGGTTTGATGGGCCTGAGGTCTCGCAATGTCAAAGCGATTTGGGGTCACGGCTGGATCAGGAGCTTGCCGTGGAGAAGGAGGGAGACAAGGAGCCCGGAGCAAGGGGTGCCGAAGCCCGAATGACCTTTGGATTCCCATGGTTTCCCTTGTTTAGTTCTGTGAAACAAGCCAAAGGGTACCCACAAAAAACAAAGCCCCACTTGGATGTTTGGCCAGAAAAAACAAGTTGAGTGGTCAGCAGACATCAAATCATTGGAGCAGTGAAGGGCTTTGGAGCATTTTGGTTTGGAGCATTTTGCCCGCCACGAGACTGGCGTGAGGAGATCTCGGTGCACCTGCACTTGTCGGAGGATGGGCTGAGCCTCACCGGAGCTCTCGGCTCGGAGGAGCCTAGCTTCATGGAGGGCAGCGATCATCGAGTTGGGAGGGCTGTGAAGCTTGGGGCCTTCTTTGGGTACAGCTGTTAAAAGGCGGCGCCGTGTTTTGGCTCAGGCGAATTCAATTCAACCCGTGTTGCGTTCATCGAATGCCATTGGGAATTGTGACATCTGCATTGTTCTGGCTCAAGTTTACACTCGGTCTGTTTCATGAGACGTAGCGCAGGACCAACAGAAACACATGAAGGAGAGGCTGTTGGCAAAGGTGCGGAGCAATCAAAATCCTAGAAGAAATGGGAACGGCGCGTCCAACGGTGATGAAAGCCGAATCAAGCTCGAGAAGAAAGTTAAGAGTCTGCAGGGCACAGCGGCAAATAGCTCTGTTAATTCTTTCAACACAAGGGTAGACCTTGAACCCTGTCCATCAAACAGCGGATGGGTTTTGTTTGGTCCTATGCTCCTTTGACCAAGGGAAGCCATGGGACATGTATGATAATAGGGGCCCAAATGAAGTTGGTGGGAGGGTACTTGATATTTTGGAACACCCTCAATTGCCCAATACTGATTCAGAGCCATAGCAAGAGGAGGCATAGAGAAACATGGCTGTGAGTGGTCCGATCCTTTGCATTAGCCCCCAATAGTCACTCGAAGGCTGCAACGGCTCCGCTGGCTATGAGATTTAATCAGCATGAAACAATTGGAGACAAAACAAGAAACACACACAGTTTCAGGTGTTGGAGAACCTACCGGAACTTTCTCTTGAAATTTCAGCGGCTTGCAAGAGAGGCTTTTGGCTGTTGGAACAAAGCGCAAAAGTTTCGAATGCGTGTTCTGTGCTTCAGACGAATCCCAGCTGGTGTTGGTTCCGACTTTTATCCAGGAGATTACCTTCCGCCGGATGATAAGCGGGCCGAGCTACTTGTGGTGCAGCGCTTCGGCAGTCAATCTGAGAGGCCACCCTTTGAAGCAAGGGCAACATAGGACACAACTTTTTGAGGAGGTCCTTTGTTTTGAGATAAGGGGCTTTCCTTTCGCCGCGACTCTCGCCTAACATGGAACCTGACTGAGGGTCCCGATGGGTGGCAAGTTGGTGAGAGCGTGAATAAATCCAGAATCTCCTAGACCTCCCATTGTGCCCATTCTTCCATTTTCGGAAGGGTTTTCCTTGAAAGTCAACTCCATCAAGATTGCTGGTTTTGCTCATGGGCACTGGGGGTCTGGGATAGTTGAACACATTCCCTTACGAACATAGCTTAATCGGGTTTCGAAGTCCCCACACCCTGTCTAAGTATGTTGTTCCGTTGTACCTGCCGGTTGGGACTGGTTGACAGGCGCAAAGCCAAGTTACCTCAGGGTAATTAGTCGAAGGGTTGGACTCATTTGATAAGGAACCTAGAAGCAGCACGGGTATGAGGCTACCATTTTCCTCATTTTCGGGGGCCCCTATTCTGACACATATGAACCGCCGGATCCTTGGCGGACAACACATGCGAGATTGGGTTGGGTACGAGCAACATCACGAGTTCAGAAAGCAAACCGGGCGTCCTGTTTGGAGGGAACCCATATCTGGGTTCATTGCAAAGGGGAAGGCATAGAGAACAAACCCGTGTTCTCCGATTCGGAGACACGCCCACACTGGATCCACAGACTGAGTTGTTCACTCCAAATCTGGCCGCACGGATCGGGGGATGGCTTGTTCACTGCTTGCCAAGGCGCGGATACAGAAGAGGAGCCGCGTGTGTCTTCGTGCCCCCGGAAATTGTGGCGTTCCTTCTTTCGTCCCTTTAAACCGCAAGACAGTATACCCAATTGCCCGGGCCGCCCTTTACGGGAAGGGACACTCAAAGAAGCTCGCTGAGACAAAGTCAAGATGGACGGCTTAGTGACCTGGCAGTTGCGAGTGTTGAGATGTCGAGTGCATATAGTTATGCGAGCCGTTTTGGTCAGGACAACGCTCTGAAGCGGGTCACTGTTATCTACGACAAGAACAATAAGGACCGGGCTGAGCTTAATGTAAATTGTTTGGGCAGGCAAGCACTGAAAGGCTCGGTCAGTGGCTGGTTTAGGCTCTGTGCCGCCCACCCAGGATTTGGTGATGTGCACAGACCCCGTTTCCGAGTTCGGAATGTGATTACTGGAGTCTCCTCCAAAACTATTTAGTACTCCAGGCTAGACGAAATATGAATCAGTGGTCAGACCATTCTGAAGACTTGATTCCTACCCCCCATCCCACCCCCCACCCTCCCACCCCCGCCCTTTTCTGTCGAAGCATGTGTCCCAACAAAAATCGGGAACCCCTTCTGGACAGTGGCGGTGCGGTGTGTAGACACGATGCGCCAGGCCAGCGGGGAGCTGCAGCTGTCGCTGCAGCCGCAGCTGCCACTGACGCCCATCCGCTTGGAGGCCTTCGGACCGCAGAAAGGCCCGGCACAGGCGGGGCTGGCGGGGGCAGGGTGGCAGTGCTGGTGGTTAGAAGGGTGTCCCATGCCAAAAGGCCAAGGGCATCCTCAGAACCCGGAAGTGGACTTTTGGAGCCCGAGATGTGTTCTTTGGGAACCCAAAAACAGGGGCGCCCAAACGGAGGGTGTCCTTCAAGCGGGCGACTTTCTTTTGGTTGGTGTGTTTGTATCCCGGCGAGTCAAGCCTCGCGGTGCGACCTGCGGGGGGCAAGGCAAGACACAAATAGTAATGCTGATTGCCATAAATTGTGAACTTGAAAAAGTGCATTAAAATGCGCTTTACAATGTTGGCAAACTGTCCTTTTGTACTCCTAGTGGTGGTTTCATCATGTTAATACATATCCCAAAAGTGCAATTTCTGTTTCTGGCCGGACGACTGAAAAGATAAACAAATTTTGGCAAATCCAACTTCAGACCTGCCCCTTTTGCGCAGCGTCAGACGTCAGGAAGCAGGCGTCAGAGCGGGATGGTACCTGGCTGCCGGGCTGCAAGCGAAAGCTCGAGGACTTGCAAATGCTTCGTTGGGCTCAAGTACCCAAAGGGCTCCTTCACGTGCTAGTTGGGTGTGTCTTGTTTGAGGGTGCCATGTCTTTGGTGCTTTCAAAGGAAAGCCAACAACAAAAACGACGTTTTGGCCCACTTGGGCAAATTTGAACGGGAACACAGGCTTAGTATACCACTGGCTGCACGTTGAGTATTCCGGAGTCCACGTTACTGCATGGTATTTGGGCTAGCAACCTTACGGAATGAGTCTGCAACCTCACCTATATATCATGAAGGCGTCTTTCGTTTGGGGTTGGCTTGCGATTAATTCACCATGATAGTATGCAAAGGTGAGCTACACCCAAAGGTGAACCATGTAAGGTGCTTGCGACATGCTTAGAGCACCCGAATAAAGCTTGCTATCACATCCTCATTTCACACCTAGAGACGGTTATTCATAGGTGACCCGAGGGTTGGGTATTTAAACATGCCTAAGCCACTATTGTGTACATACCTACACCACCATATGCCTAATCCCCATGCTTGTTTCCCTAAGGTGGACCGCTGCTGTTTCAGCAACACCGTGTTGCCCTTCCAAGGGAGCAGAACCGGGTCTGACTGTTCCCGAGCTAAGGACATTGATGCCACCTTCTTCGGCGCTTCACAGCACATCTTCCAGGAAAAAGCGCGGCGCCGCCCAACGGGCGGGTGAAAGTAGATGGGTGAAAGTAGATGGATGGGTGTGTGTGTGTGTGTGTGGTTTTGTTTTTTCCGTGTGTCCTTTTTTTTTCTTCCTTTTTTTGAGGGTACCGTTTTGCCTGGATTGAAAGAAGCCAAAAACAATCCCCATTTTTTGGCACACCCAGATAGCGGATGCCGTTGGCACCATGCCGAGTAGATGTGCGCAAGAGGGGATAACTGAACCGAAATAGTTGGACATGTGCATTTGCTTTCGCCCAACTGGAAATAACCAAGAGCTACCCCCCACCCTACCACCCCACCCCACCACCCCACCCCCATCCCACCACCCCACCCCATCACCCCACCCCACCCAACCCCCAGCCACCGTTTCCCCACCGAAAGCAAATTTCTACGGGCAGCCCGCCACACCCCGTAACTTCCGGTCTCTGTGAATGGAACACAGGCCGCTGGAAAGGGACGGCTACCGTCGGCATGCGCATATCAATCACAAATCATTGCAGACCATGGAATCAAAGGAGAAGGCAGCTAGTAAGTTGGTATCCTGTGCACCCTGGAGCAAATGACGGGTAGTAAGTCAGTATCCGGCGCAGAGACGGAGCATAAAATAAGTTAGCAAGCTAGAAAGTTAGCAAGCTAGAAAGTCAATAAGCTAGTAAGTTAGCAGGTACGGTACGCCAGTTAGTAAGTTAACAAGAGGGAGTGGAACTGGAGGCTGGGTAGTTAGCAAGATAGTGTAGAAGAAGGCGCAGTTAGCGAGCTAGTATGCTACTTCTCCTACTGCTACCACTAATACCACTATTCTGCTACTTGTACTTCTCTTTCTACTTCTTCCAGTGCCACTACATCTTCCACTACTACTACTCCTGCTACTACTAGTACTACGACTACTCTTGCTACTCCTGCTACCCCTGCTACTACTACTACTACTACGACTACTACTACTACTACTACTACTACTACTACTATGACGTACTCCTGCTACTACCACTACTATTACTACTACTACTACTGCTGCTGCTACTACTATTACTACTACTACTACTACTACTACTACTACTACTACTACTATACTACTACTACTACTACTACTACTACTACGACTACTACTACTACTACTACTACTACTACTACTACTACTACTACTACTACTACTACTACTACTACTATACTACTACTACTACTACTACTACTACTACTACTACTACTACGACTACGACTACTACTACGACTACGACTACTACTACTACTACTACTACTACTACTACTATGACGTACTCCTGCTACTACCACTACTATTACTACTACTACTACTACTACTACTACTACTACTACTATTACTACTACTACTACTATTACTACTACTACTACTACTACTACTACTACTACTACTACTACTACTAGACCACTACTATTACTACTACTACTACTACTGCTACTACTACTACTACTACTACTACTACCACTACCCCTTAGCCGCTACCGTCCTCTAACTGGAGTATATATACGTGTACAGATGCAAATGCAGCAGGAGCACTTTGAGCACGAGTCCGGGTACCCGGAGAATGTCGAGCAAGCCCTGAGGCAGGGCATGTGCGAGAGCACAAGCAACCGGTGGGGTTTGTCAAAATGAGTGGCAGCCAAAGGGGAGAGGGTCTCTGTATTTATATACATATACACATTTCTATACAGACACGTAATCGCATGTGAGTCAACACATTCCAATGCATGTACAGGTGAGATCACAACTTTGTCTGTGTGTGTTTTGCGGGCGTGTGGCATGTACACCCTTCCATTGAACACATACTCCATGTAGGTACTGTATATATATATATATACACCATGTGGCACATTTGGAGGGCAAAGCTGGCTAATCTTTTTCATGGAGTGCTTGGGTCGGGTGAACAGCATCAGTTCAAGAAGTCTCAAATTTCCGGGAATAATTGGGCTTATGCTGTTTGGGGAGGAAGGTTCCTCTGAAGTCAACATTCACTCATGAAGTAGCCAGAAAAAGGTCTTGCTGTTTGCCCCGGAGGTAAACAGGTGATGTTACGTTCAATGAGCAGAAAGAAAGATAAGACACCCTGGTATCATTTGGACACCTGTGACAAGGCAAAAGAGTGGAATCCACTGGGCCGGGCAACTGGTTGAACATGACCAAACAAGGTCCCCAAAAAGGTTGAGCAACCAATACCAAGGAATTAAGAGGATATGCAACAACTATTGCCGCTGACAAATGGAGCTACCTGGTTTACCCTAGGGATAGCAAATGGGGGGTGGACGCCATCTGCAAGCTGTACCTGATTTTCCAAAACCTGAGTAAGGGATCCGCAAGCAGAGGACCTTCATGGACGTTTCGCCTGTTCCCCAAATCGGTGACCCGCTCGCCCTAGGGCGAACGAGATGTAAGGCTTAAGCGGTGGGTTGCCTGTTCTTTGCTCAGACGTTCAGGCATCCAGCCGTGAAAAACATCATGTAAGTCAACTTCTTTTGAGCAAATCAATCATCCGGGTGAGGAGTTGTTTTGTTCTGTTGGCTTCTTGTGCTGGCTTGCTGATTTTGATGGTGTATTAATTTTTGATCTGAATATGCACTTGCCACTTTTTGACCATGCAACATTGGACTTTAGCGAGATCGACCCAGAAACCCAAGACCGAACTTGGATAAATGCCCGTGCTGTAAGTCCACTCTCTTGGCTTTCACCCTGAATTCGCCCCAACGGCGTTATCCTCTTCACTTAAGTCAAAGAACCCTGTCCTCCCGTTTGGCCCCTTACCCCCTTGCATGGTTGGCGTGCCGCCTACTTGAAGCACAAGGTTCATCGTCCACGCTCTCATTTGAAACATTTGTGGCTAGTTCACCCCAGAGTCCTTACTGGCAATCCGTGCCACTTTGGTAAAGAAGCATGTGCGACCCAGTTGTTCTTTTGCCCCCCTTGACGACTATCTTGCTTGAAATCTTCTACTTGAAGCTTCCCCGTCCGGCGCTCCAGAAACGAAGGCTCTCGCATTCTAGCCGATTCTAGCCTTATCCCAACAACGCCCATTTCACCCATTGGCTCTTTGTTCTACATGGCCAAACATATCTATACAAAGAAGGGACCCGTGAAATGGTTGGTTTCATGTTGATTCCCTTCCACTACGAACCCAAGGAGGTCCACCACTTTGAATCCCCAAAGAGTGTTTGCCACTCTACGGCATAGTACTTTGGCTTCTGACTTTTGACAACAGTCGTTGCTGTTGCATGTTGCTGATTCGTGGTCAGCTATGCCTAGCACCCAATGACCCTGGACACAGTCTCAAATACAAGTCGTACTATCATTGACTTCCTGGTACAGTCTGGCTTGGACACGTAGCCCTAGATGAAAGCAGCATGAGTCTTATCATAGCACGGACACAGAGGCAGCTTTGACAGAAAAGGAACATTGAATAGTGCCACGAAACTGCCTCATCATGTTTGCAGCCGCGGTGCATAAAAGGCACCTTCGAGTTGCAGCGACTTTGGCAGTTATAGTAAGTTACAATTGGCTTCTCTGTGGTCATCACCATGAACCACTCTTGATAGATGGCCTCCCCCGAGGCTGCCAATTTCAAGGGAGGCGACGACAAGGGCCGTTGGTCAGAGCTGCTGCGGAATCCTCGGAAAGTGGAATGGCGGCTTACAACTACTGGGCTGAACAGTTTCCAGTGGCATCGAAGGCGCAGGAATTCTACAAGCGGCCTGCCACTGCAGCTGACATCTCCGAACGCTTTCGGCGGCTCCGTGCTGCCTTGGGTGCAGCTTCGCCTGTGGGAGAAAGTTTTGTCTTGAAGCTGCTGGCGAAAGACGCCTCAGTTCTATTTGCTCCTCGACCCCGTGCAACCTTCCTGCAGCTCATCCTTGAGCTCACAGGTCGCACAAGCCAGGGACGTGGCACAGTAATGGCAGCCCTTCTGGAGAAACCTGAACTGCTGTTGTTGCCGCCTAAGGCTTTGGCTAAGAAGGGACGGTCAGCGCTTGACATGAATCCAACATTTCCAGAGGAGTTGCCACCGTCTGAGGATGAAGCAAGCTATTGGGATGCAAACAAGCAGGGCAGCCGCAACATCGTTCTTGAGCTCGGAAAAGTCCTGAAGCCAATAGGTGGAGCAAAAGCTGTCTATCCCATGGCTTTACTGATTCTTTATGCGGCAGCTTGGACTTCACAGTTTTTGCCACATCCTCCACCTGAGTAGCTCAGCTTACAGCACAGAAATTGCAAAGGCCAAAAGCCAGCAAGATCGGCGGCGGTACTTTGTCACAGTGAGATCTCGATGATTCAAAGTGGATCAAAATGGCATCCCTGCATGACAGAGTCCAAACTTACCGACCCACGGAACGATGAGAAGATACATATATGTTCTTACAACTGCAGAGCTGTTTGCGCTTTCACAGACAAGATAGATGAGCCTGAGCTCTACGGGTTCAGTCTGGAGAATAAGCTCGACCTCCAAATTACATGATGTCCACATTGATACCAGTGAAACCCGTTTGCTTCCAGGATTTACAATTCCACTGGAGTTACATAGAGAGGAAGTGTTTTTTGTGCAACACAGAGATAACAGTAATGTCGGAAGCGGATGCTTGCCTCCGCCTGAGAAATCAAGCACTGGATTTGTTTAGGGTAGAAATCTATGATTATGTGAAACGGGTACGTGTTCATCAGTCCGTTTTGGAAGAGGTAAGCACGTGGCGTCCTTGCCAGGTGCTTGTATAGCTGGCAGATTCTCGGGCCGAGAGAATAGAGAGAGTAGGGCAAGGCATGCCTCTAGGCAGGCAGGCGGGAAGAGTGGAGCCCAGGAGGTTCCACATAAACATATCTGCAACTGAATTCTTTGATCAGTGCTGTCCAAATGGAGCTGGTGAAACTTATGCTTGTTGCGCTTCGTCTAGTGTGTTTCGTGTTTGTTATCCCTCATTTTTGCCTTGCCTTAAGGGAGGCAACCCATTTCATTCTTCCGGTTTTTGTGGAACACCCTTTTAGGAAGAGGCAGACCATGTAGCCAGCAACCCGTTTTGGCATGGGCTTTTCACAGCAACATGACACCACCTACCAGGATCCTCTCCGACAAACATGGAAGTGCAGAGGCTTTTTTTGTCTTCTTCGACTTTCCTAAGTGGCGTGCTGACAGGCTGATACATCCACTTTTCCGGTGTCTCCAGAGCTCTCTGGACAAGAAGGGGCTTTGCACCTGGCCTGCAAGCAGGGAGTTTCGGGTCCATGCGACGGCGAGTAGAAATGAAGCGGGAGGTAGGTGACTAGGGAGACGCTCGCTCGTCAAAGGGTGCAAGCGAGATGGTTTGCAGCATCTAGCTCGTGGCCGGGGGCCACTTTCTGTGATGCTGTGGATGGAGCAAAGCACAAGTTCGCACCAGTGGGGATGGATGGCACTTAGTGAATGGTTGATCAACCACCAATCCCAGCCAGTACGTTGTGCTTATTGTGTCCATTCATAGCAACAACTAAAACCCGCAAGTGGCCGTGTGTTTGTGAGGGCACCCTTTTCAGGTTGGTTCAAAAGGTAGCCAGGAACATCCTTCACTCCAATTCGGGGATACTCCACAAATTGTTCTGAAACCCAAAATGTCGGGCCCCCCCTAACAGGGGATTCTCCAACCTATACTTGTTTTGCGGCGTTTTTTTTTTGTTTGTGGGGGTTCCATGCCAAAAAACGGGGGAGGTTTTCTCCCCCCCACCTCGCCCTGGCCGAGGTCTGACCTTCTGCAACGCTCTGGAGGCCCAGATGCTGCCGGAGGTGCGGGTCTTCTTCCCAGCCAAGAGCACTCCCAGGCCTCGGGGTGCCGACACGGGGGAGATGCCATGTATGGGTCAAAATCAAACCACCAGGAATTGGACCGCAGGGAATAAGTCTTTTCCAACCACCAGGGCAAGCCATTTTGGGGTTACCGCATGTTTGACCCATAGCCATGTCTGGGAGGGGCTCGGACTCGACGGTCTCCAACCAAGTCCCAGTTGCCCAGTGGGTTGCTTCCCTTGTTCGACTTGTTGTTGGGAAGGGCTCCCTTTAGAGTCAACCAACCAAAAAGGAATGCCTTTTTTTTCTGATGGCCACTGGGCATCTGAGAAGTGCAAAGATGTGTTGGGGTACACGATGTGTGAAGCAGACGCTGGAAATACAGATTGTTCGATGTGGGCGGAGATATTAGCCTTCTCTCCTTCTTTGTGCGTGAATTCATGGCTGAAACGGAGACTTGCCTTATCCTTATTGGCACGTGGCTTAAAAGGGACATGTTGAGTTGCCTGAAGACTCGATTCAGGTCTGTAGCAATGACAACATGATTTCAAGATGTACGCCCCACATTGCCATTGCACATTGCGGGAGTCCAAGAGGAGGTTGATCCAGGTACAGCTGCTTTGTGGGAAGGGTACGCACCAAATCCCAGTGAGTCAAATGGGGGCACGATGTTTGCGTGCCTTCTCCTTTGGTTTTTCCACGTACAAAGCATGGCAAACTGCAAGCAACCTCTCGATGGTCGATGAACCGCTGGTGAATGTGTCTAACTAGTGGTGCTCCCCCCAAAAAACAAAGCAGAAAGGAAGTGGCCTTTGGGTTTCCCTTTTAAAGCCATGAGCAAAGGGCATCCAGAGGAAGCACACACACACACCCATTGCTCTTCACTTGAAGTTGAGAGTTCGAAATACTTCGTTTCTGCTGGGACACTGTGACTCGGACTTGCCGATCAAACATAAGGGCTCCCCATGACATTAGCATTCGTGTCCAGTTCCTTGCTTGAGCCGGTGAAAAAAGGTTGACATGATCCCACTGAGCTTTGCCTATGCTCTCAAATTCTGCAAAATCAATGCCCAAAAGGGACGATCAATCTCATGTTTGAACCAATGGGCCCCACGAGGCAGAAAAGGACTTTGATTTTTGCCTCGCGGCCGTGGAAAAAAATAAGAATAAACAAATCCAGCGGTTTCCCAACTCCAGGGAGCAGCTGGGCAAGCTTACGGCCGAGGGCGGGGGCCCTGGGTTTGTGCGTGCGTCGGAGGGCCCAAAGTCGAGGTCTGGGGATTTGACGAAGTGCCTCAGCTGCTGGTATTCAAGCTATATAGCCATGTTACCAGGGTCGAGGTATTTATATAGTTACCAGAACCAAGGGTCAATGGGTGGGCTATGTATCCAGTCTATGGTCCATTTGTTTCCCACCAAAACGCGGTCTTGCTGGTGCTCAGTGGCGAATGACACAGGGTGCTGGCAATGAACCGAAAGGGGATTCCCTTAAAGAAAACCACAAGGGATCGTTTATAGGGGTCATTCCCGCATTTCCTGCTGAGCACCAGCAAGTTGAATTTGTTCCAAATGGGGAAGCCAGGAGTGTGCGCATGAGGAGTTTTGGCCGCACACATCATGACTGATGTGTCCTTGGATTGAATATTTCTTGGCAGCATTCCGGTTTCTGTCGAACCTGCATTGGTTGCTTTGGGGAAGTCTCCAGATCACTGGCTGACAGGGGCGGTTTTTGAACCTTTGCTGCTATTGCATTTACTGGGTCAACGCTACCCATTCATTCCTGGCTAAAGTGAGGAACAAAGAAAGTATTTGCATCCTACGGTAGGTTTAGAGTTGAATGCTGACCGAGTTTAGACCATTGTGCTGGAATCCCATTGGAGGCATGCCCATGACCCCCGCGGTTTTGACCGCGAAGCTAGATGGAGGGTCTCTTGCTGTGAAAAAATGGTGGTGTTCCTTTTAGTCTCACTTTAAAGCCAACGAAAAAGGGGTCACTCCAAAACAGAGAACCCCAAATGATGCGAAACTTGTAGGTTACTTCTCACCGGCGTCTTCCCCTAAAGCCATCATGGGAACCGGCTGCCGTTTGGTTCTTTGCTTGCGGGAAATATGTTTGAGTCCCTTAACACGTTTCGGAACCCAACGGCAAAGATGGTCAGGCGATGAAAAGAAAAACAAATCTTCACCAGCTGGCATTTCTGTAAACAAGAGTTTGTTGGCACTTTTGGGTTAGCTGCAGCCAGCTTTTCGAGCCCCAACTGCTTTTGGGCTTCAAGAGGCAAGTCGAGTGTTCACCTCAGGCAACTGGGTTGTTTGTATGGGTGGTTTAGGGATTTGAACCCCCTAGCCTACCGGGGAAGCTGACCAAACCGGTGGGGGTCGGCCAGGTGAGCTCACAGGGGAAGGCTTGCCCCGCAGCAGCCCTGCCACGGTGGCTGGGGTGCGAGCTGAGCGCTCAGAGAGCCCCGCCACGAAGTCCAGAACGTCCCCGTTCAGGGCACAGGGTGACAGAGAAATTGACAGATCCGTTGTAGACTCATTGAGTCCATTGCAAGTGCTTGTGTTTTTGTGAGGGCAACTTAGCTTAGAGGAAGCAAGGATGAGGGATTTTCGATTTTCCTGAGCACCTAGACTTAGTTTGAAGGTCCCCGCTACGTGATAGCTCAATCAACAAATAGCTGACCCAGACCTCTTTTTGGACCAAGATTGCTTGTTGCTTCCTTTTCATTTTTTTTCTTACATCTTTTAGCCCTGCTTTTTGTAGGGAATTTGTTCTTGGCAGACTTTTAGTAGAGGAGAGTGAGGAGTTGTTCACACCCAACGTGCAGAACGGGGCAGTTTCAATTGTTCAATGATGGGCAAGGTGTGGGCAGGAAGTTGTTTGCGCATGACGAACGTATAGGTGTCTTGTTCTCTGGTAAAACAGGCGGCAGCCTTTGCTGATGTTTGTTTAGCCTAGTGCTCCGGAGGACATGAGCAAGAAACAGCTGTTCTCCGCACGACGAGCAAAGGAGCTTAGGTTTCCCTTGGTCATAAAACCGCGGTTTGGGCTCAGGTTGGGGGTACGTCCAAGTTGGTGTTGGGACAGCTGAACGTTCCGGAGCTGGTTTCAGTTTGACTTGGAATCCATTTGAGGCTGTTTTAAACTCGGGGAACCCCAACGGGTGCCATTGGTTCGGGGCTTGGTTTCCATGAGCATTTGTATTCAAACAATATATTTGGAATCCACATTTTTTGGTTTTCCAGGTGGTTTCGTTTAGAATCCAATATGTTTCTTTGTTTTCCAGGTGGTTTCCAGGTGGTTCGTTGAGAATCCAATATGTATTGTTTTGTTTTCCAGGTAGTTTCCATTTCAAATGGTCTCAAAAAGGGCACGCGTGCTGCGTGGGCGAGGCCGGCTGGCAGCTCTCGGTCAAGAAGAGCGCGAGCCTCACCGCGCGCCACGGTGTGGCGGTGCCAGAGGAGGCAATCCACTCGCGAGGGGCAAATTTCGAGCACAAGGAAACAACAGGCAAACAAACAAACAAGCAAACAAACAGGCAAACCAACAAAAAGGAAGCAAGCAAGAAAACAATCAAAAAAACAAAGCAAACAAACACGCAAACCAGCAAAAAGCCAGCCAGCAAGCCAGCCAGCCAGCCAGCCAGCCAGCCAGCCAGCAAGCAAGCAAGCAAGCAAGAAAAAACAAAAATCAAAAAGCAAAAAGCAAAAAACAAACAGACAGACAAACAAACAAACAAACAAACAAACAAGCAATCAAACAGACAAACAAAGCAAGCAAGCAAACAAACAAACAATCAAACAGACGTATAAGCATAAGCAACGCACAACATACACGAAGCCAACATCAACATGCTAGAGGGCAAAGGCAGAGCAAAGAAGCACAGGGGGACTTTCACCCGGGGATGGCTGATCTATTTCCCTGCAGGGGCCCTGGGATTGTTCGCGGCTGCACAGGGCAGCTTGGTCTGGTTTTGGCCGTCCGAGTTCATCCTGTCGGTTTCTGAAAATCAGAGTTCCCTTTTGGGGGTGATGCTCAAAGAATACTGTGCTGAAGAATTTGGACCAGCCTTCCTGCTTGAACTTTGAACGCCGCTTCGCTGAGAAGCTAAGGTTGGCCTTAGCCGGGGTCTCCAACACATTTTAGGGTAGACTAAATATGAAACACAATGTGAACATATATTAGTTTCTGTCCTGCCATGGCCACGTTAGGTGCTTTTCGAGGGGTGCTGTGTAGGGAAGTCGTTGGGGTTGAAGGGATCGAACAAATTTGGTCGGCTGATTTTGGTCGAGTTAGTAGTAGTCTCCGATGCCTTCTGTTTTTTGCTGCCAATAAAATTTGGGTGTGTCTGTTTTGAGGGTACCCCTTTTTTTGGTGCTTTTCAAGTGAACCCAACAGGAAAGCCGCAATTTTGGGGCGTCCCCTAAAGAAAGACACTCAGATTGTAGGCTAAGGTGCCGGACCTTCCGTGCCCTAACACCACGGTCCTTTGGCCTTCGCCAGAACGATAGGCGCAGATGGAGTTTCTCCTGGGCCCTGCAGACGTAGAGAGAATCCTGGTGTTCCAAGAGCCGCAGGAGGAGCGTGCAGAGACCAAGGCGGGCCAGGGATGGGATTGGTGGATATGGATCTCCAATTCTGCGGTCCAAAGGGTCAGGGCACCCATTAAACTTCATACCAATTCGTTTGTGTGTGTTTTTTGAGTCGGAGAGGCGGAGGGTACCCTTTTCAGGGTGGGAGTAAAGGGAAACCAAAAGGAATGCCGAAGCCCATTGGGACCCCTGTTTGACAGAAACCACTTGTTTATGCCCGGGGTCACCTAAACGTTTTGTTTTTGTATGGTAGGGTAGACTAACAATGAAACAGGATCCTGTTTGTTTGTGTACCCCAGATGTGGGTGGGTATGTGTCAAGGGTCTCATTTGAATGAAGCCATATGAATATGTGTCAAAACCAGTCCAAATGGTGGTGTCCCTTTCGTTTCCCTTTCAAACCACCCCAACATTCACGCAGGCATTGGCTGAAATCCAGAGTCAGTTGGGCCCGCATGGTGCGCAAACTTGGGGGCCTATGAATTGATTCGGAGGAGTGCTCAGCTTTGAGCTCTTGCAGAATGGGTGTGTGGTTTTTGAAGGTCCCCTGCTCACCTTGGTCTAGGGATACCAAAGCGAAAACCAAAATCCATGTTTGGGTCAGCACAATGAAAGGCTGGTAGAAGCTTATATGGAACTCCTTTCACAGAGGCCGTTTGTTTTTTGCGGATTCGGGCGATTCATCAGCTGCCGCACTTGTCCTTTCCCAGAGGGTCCCTTGGTACCTAGGGATGCATACTGGGGTCAAAAAGGGGTCAAGGACCTTCTAGTTCTAAGGATGTACTTGAGGGGTAAAAAACCCGGGTTTGGCTTGCCAGGCGGCATCGGAGTGGACGGAGCCTGTGCTCTTCCCTGGTGAAGATTCTGTGGGCGTGAGGCCGAACCGGTTCGGGTCAGAGTTCTTTGGCTCGTGTATGCAGCGCTTGCAACGCACCGAGCCAGCAGTCAAGCAGTTGGATGTGTCTTTTTGCTCGTGTGACATCAGTTTTCAAGGTAAACCAAAGGAAAACCACCGATGTTGGGTACCCGCGATTGGAGACAAACCCATTTAGGATCGCCCCGGTCTTTGAAGCAGTGAACCAAATCGACTTGGAGCCGGACGCTCTGCGATTGGCAATGATTGCAGCTTAAGATTAGGAGGTCCCAACTGACTGATGAAACAATTCCCCAAAGCAGATTATTCCCCTCAACCCCCACCCCCTAGTTCTTTTTGTCTTTCCGGTTCACGACACGATCAATCCGAAGTTGACGTCAAGCTAAGTGCGGGGTTGAGGCAGGTCCTCAAACTTTTGAAGATGGAAGCCTCACAGCTACTTTCAAGCGTCTGCTGTTGCCAGGTGTGAGCCGAGTGGTGCCAGACTCAGCATCCGGACGAATCCACAGTTTCTCATTTCTCCCCCTTAAGATAGGTTTCTTGAAAAGGGACAGCCCTCTTCGGCTTCTTTTCAAGTGCAAATGCTATTCCACACAGGACTTCCTATGTTCTGCAACGCCAAGGCCACTGCTTGCTTGTACAGAGCCATTTAGTGTGTGGTGGGTGCAATGGCTGAACGCCAGGGTCGGGGTTCGGTTGCATGTTGGCATCCGCATGTCCCAACGCTTCCTCTGAGACAACCCGGCCGACCGCCATCTGCTGGTGGTGCTGGTGCCAACAGGCTGGGCATTGCAACATCACCCTGTACCTGGGGGCTCCTGCAAAAGTATGTTGCCGCTGTTGCGGGTAAATATGAAGCAGGCACTAAGTAGTGTATTGCGTCCATGTATCCCACCCCATGAAGCCAGGTAGTGGAACCTAAACTCTCCAACTCATAAGGAATTCGAAGAGATCGATCCGCCAGGTCCCGGGCATGAGGCGCCCAGCCAAAGGCAGCTGCAGCAGCTCGCGGAGTGCCATAGCCTCACAGCTGGACGAACCTTAGGCATGCTTAGGCCCTACTTCCAGTTGCTTAAGTTTCAAAGGGAATCTATCACTGGACTTGTTCTTTCTTCCCCCCCCCAGCAGTTGCTTTAACATGTTGCTATCCCCGTGTTTTAGGGGGAATCTATCACTGGACTTCTTTTGGGGGGGATTAGGGGATCGGGAAGCAAATCGGATAGGCCCCCACAGACATGTTGGAAACAATTGTTTTTCCAACTAAACCTACTGCAACACGTGATGAACCTTTTGCTCAGGGGGAACCAGCATGGGGAAGTCTGTGTTTTCCCAGTTCAACATGTGGGTGGGGGCGGGCGATAGCTGCCAAGATTTCAAGGTTTCTTTTGAAACCAACTAAATCTTGAAGATTGGCTTGCTAAGTGTTGACTAGGGGTGGCTGCAAACATATTTAGTATTGACACCATCCGCTGGTCCACTTTGCCGGGGTAGACATGTTGGTTGGTTTGCTGGCTGGTTGCTTGCTTGATGGGTTCTGTATTTTAGCGTCCGGCCAGTGAGGCATGGAAAGGGGCCTTGGGAGGCGGGTTGGAACCAACCGCCAAAACCATAAGTCCACCCATGGGGCATTTCTAGTGACCATCGGTTCTATTTGGGGAATGGAACCCTGAAGGGCACTGGTGTTTATTCCCTTGCCAAAAGATCGACGGCTACAGACCGCCACCCCGGGGAAGCATTCCTTGGTGGAGATGTTTTAAGAGAATTATAGGGAACCCTGATCCACCAGAACCCACAAATTGATGGTTTCCTGTTGGCCTTCCCTTCAAAACCACCGAAAAGAATGTACTAGCCCCAAAAAATGAAGCACGCTTACTCTACCCCACTTTTTATAGCGGACCCTTCAAACCACATACTCTAAAGTCGGTTGCGGTTAGATGATGGCTGCACAGGGTGGTTTTTTGGGATGAGCAAATGCAGTAGGTATCTATTTTAACACAGCATGCAACGAGCAAACACGCAACCAGTTGCTCAACTTTCCAATGTTGACCTTGGATCAAGAAACCCCCCAGCTACCAGTTTCAGGGGTCTTACAAGAAAGGAATCCCCACTCAGCAGCTCATAGCAAGTCTGCCCTTCCGGCCATTTCTCTCCAGAAGCTTCGGCCTTGCCTTGAGACCTCAAGGACCTCATTTGCCACAGTTGTTCCAACCCCAATAGCAAGTAACTCAGGGCTTGACAGGGGCAACTCTGTCGAGGCTGGGAGTCCGCCTGCGACGGCTTCTTCGGGCTTCGAGGGGAGGAGGTCTCGGTGGAAAGGGATGGCTGGGATGAAGTCCGGCTGCGAGCAGCTCGGACGCAAAGTCGCCGTTGGATATGGGTGGCTCGACTTCTTTTTGCGGGGAATGGTGGTTTTCCTTTCAACACAACACAGGGGTACCCTCAAGAAAGACACACCCATCCGTGTGTGTGTGTGTGCTTTTTTGTGTTCTTGGGTTGGTTTAAAGGGCAACTAACAGGAAACTCGACCACGGCCAGAAGGCGTTTCGACCATGTGACATTTGAGGTTCGCTCAAATCGAGATTTGATGGTCAGTTTGGGGTTCGGGACATGGGGGTCACGCTTTAATTTCATCATGCGCTCGGTATAGTTCTGTCGGTGTTCTTTGGGCCCGTGTTCTTTTCAATGTGGATGTTGTTTGTCCTTGTGGTCTGATTCTGAAACTGGTGCTATCTAAACGATCGTATATACCTTTCTTGAGTTCTTGTGAATGAAGTAGTTTCACTCACCTGATTTGATATCTTCTCTCTCTTCGAGCTCGTAAGAATACAATGTACTTTCATTTGGCTCTTGTGTTCCAGGTAAAGTGAGAGTGCTTTCTGTGGGGTGATGTTGAGATATGGGGAACAGTTATTTGTCCACAGCTCGAGTAAGCAGTTGCATGAATTGCTATCTCACTATCTCTCTATTTGATGGTGAGCGAACAGATGCGAACAGTTTTGAGGAGAAGCGAACGAGTATGATGTGTTTTTTGCCTGGCAATCTTTATATTTGCTTGGGCAATCACTTGCCAAATATCAAGATGCATCCACACCCATGTGAAGACGTGGGACCATTTTGGCTGTCAGTTTGCTGTTGGCCATCGTGGCAGCATTTATCCAAAGGTATTGATGAATATAGTTGGTCATTCAACACAATTGACTTGCACGGGGGTGTGAAAAAATGGTCATCGACCGTTGAAGACGAAAGCCATTGAGAGGATCCCTGCCATCAAGAAGTGGCCACGGCAGAATTTTGATCTCCGAAAACTGGCAATACTGTATTACTTGTTGAGTTCTACAAGGTGTTGAGGAGAGGCTTGTCTCAGGTAAGTGAAAACATGGACCCAAACCCGCGTAACCCCTCCTGTTTAATTTTGAGCCACAGACATATCAGCCCTTTTTTCCAGCGACAAAAAATGGGCGCGAGCCCTTCGTTCGCCTTCGCGCTGGACGACTGGACGATTCAGGCGCTGTGCGCGCACCATGGCTGGGAGTTCTCATGGCCTTCCGGGCATGCTTTGTGACAAGTTCTTTGCTCAGGACTCGCCACGGTTTTTTTGGCTTGGACCATCTTGGGCCATTTTTTAGGTTTGGGTTTGCACTTTTTGATGGTTGGGGGTTGGGGGTTGGCAAACAAGCACTTTAAGTTCAGTTTTGTCAGCCAATCCGCTCAAGCGAGACATTGGGTTTGCTGCCACTTTCTGTGGCGCAGATTGGAACTTCCTGAAAACATACAGATTCCAGAGCCACCTGGAAGGTTTGGTGCCCTTGAGTTGGGTTACCATGACGTAAGAAAAAACCTGCCCGCTGTACCCTTGCAATCGTTTGGTGACAAGGGATGACTTCCGAATGAACCCGAGGGTTTGAACAGGTGTCCAACAAAATAAACTGTTCACGAAATGGCCGGTTTACCACAAATTGATGGATCGCAAATGAGGCTGGAGATGGTCAAACAGCGCGTGTGTGTGTCTTAGTGACTATGGCAGCTCTGCGGGATATGTCCCCTTGCAAGCATATTCATGACTCCCTGTTAGATTCAATATCTTCCATTATGCAACTTTGTTGTGGAGTTTGTGAGATGGCCGGCGACAAGATCGATATGGCTTGCGTTCAGAATAGCCCGATGTGCCCGACGCGATTAAATGTGTAGCCGTTTGGCGTAGGTAAGCATTCGTGAAGCCTAACCTGTACATCTTCCATGAGCAAAGCTATCGGCCAGTATTTCTCGGCGTCTCCTGTGTGCCATTGTTTCACGTTCATGGACGGAAGCATCCAACAGAACCAACCTCAAGAGGGTCCCGCACGAACAAAACCCATTTGTCCACGTTGGTCGGGATCTTCATCTGCCAGGATGACCGAAGATGACGAGCGGCGGCGGCGCATTGTTGAGGCCGAGCCCAGAAACTCTTGATCCTGATGCAGCAAATCGCTATGTCAGTCAGAGGGAAAGTATGCAAAGATGGTCTATCGGTATGAAGTATTATATATACTATACATATTGTATATCTCAATTATGGCCCTGAAGGGCCTCCCGAGCAAGGGCCTCCCCAGATTTGGTCTTCTTGCATGTTTAATGTTGGTTCAGGTTTTCTGTGTTCTTCATGATGTGTGATCGTTGTTGGGGGTACTTTGCTCGAATCTAGCTGCAATTGCTCAACTCCGCCAAGTGCAAAGGTAACGGCAAAGGTGGGGCCCGCAAATCAGGAGCGAGAATCCAAACCTGCTGCGATTCCCAAGTGAGGTGGTTTAGGTCACCAGTGTGATGTTGAGGGCAGCCGATGCCTCCCAAATCAAACAAGAATTTCGGAGGGGTTCCAAAATGTAGGAAAATGCGATTGTTTGCTAGCAGGGCTTATTTAAGGCTTAATAAGCTGTAATATGGCTTAATAAGGCTTAATAAGGCTTAACAAGGCTGAATGTGGTGGGGAGGCCCCCCCCCCCCCCCCCCGAACCAACCTGCACAGGGACACGCTTTTGGCCCCCCTTCCCCCTTCCTCCCCCTCCGTGTCCCCTCCCTCCCCTCCCTTCCCTCCCCTCCCTTCCCCACCCCCTCTTACCCCCCCCGTCCCCTCCCCCTACCACCTCTCTTACTTCTCAAAAAGAAACGATGTTTTGTTCCCTTTTCGAAGTATGGTGCTTTGACTAGAATCCTGGGGCATGTGTTCTAGGCTGGATGTCTTTCGAGATGGCGGTATTGAAGGATTTGTTGAAAATAAGAGAACATGTCCGGTTTGAGCATTCTCATTTAAATAACAAATTATTAAGCTTTATTAAGCCTTATTAAGCCTCAATAAAGCTTAATAAGGCTTAATAAGGCTTAATATGGATTCGTGTCAAATCTGGGAAATCTGGGGAGGCCCTCCCTCGGGAGGCTCTGCAGGGACACATGAATTGACGAATTACGTGTGCATACGGTTGCATGCAATGTTCCCGTACATGGATGTGTAGCCAGAAAGTGCTTTGAAGAGCAACATGGACTTCCAAAGACCTCCAGTCAGATTCCATGTGAGAGGTAGGGTGGATGAGCGACCAAAATGCTTAGTGGCCATACTACCATGTGGTTCTACCTGGCTATAGCAACCACCCCTATTGGCCATTGCAGCAAGTGGTTCGGTTCCTACTTAGTTTCGTTGGGGTCACAGAAAATCCTACATGATTTTTCCACCCAGGTTAGTGGTCAAGTTGTCAAGGGGTTTTGGGCCTGATCAGCTGTCAACTGAACCCGTTAGGGCTTGGGACTGATCATGGACATGGATTGTGCACGAACCATTCCAAACACTCCACGTAAAAATATTTACCCACATTTACTCTCCAAATGGTTCAAATGTTTGTATATGGGTGTGTTGTTTTTTGGCGGACCTGCAAGATGCAGGTTTCCCTTTCGGTTTAATCTTTCAAAACAACAAAACAGTTGCTCCCTCCTTTAACGACGCCCATACAGTACCTACATGGAGTGTGTGGGGTTGGCAAGGATTCCTATGCAAATGCCCAGTTTTGACACGACTCGACTCGACTCGCCAGGGCTCTGGTGCCAGACGCTGAGCGGGGAAGAGCCAAAATCATAGAGGAAGATGACGTCCATGTGCGCTTTTCTGGGTAATATAGCTCCTTTTCCCCCTCCCACACATTCTGGGCAGACGATGTTTCATTGATGTCGACGTGTTTGCCGCTTGGCAGTTCCACTTGACCAGATAATGCATCGGCCTCTCGGCCGCGTCTGCCGAAGGCATGGCGTGGCCAGTCTTCGGGCCACGGAGCACAATATGGGCGCGTGTCAAAACGAGCTCAGGCTCGGGCGGGCCGAGTTTTTGGTTCCACGATTTTCATGGTGTGGTTGAAAATTGGACCATGCCCAGGATATGAAATTTGACATGGTTTCATTCTGTGTTCTTCTTTTGTTCTTAACCTGAACGAAGCTGATCATCCGGAATTTGACACGCGCCGCATCAAGCCATTGGCTTTGTCCATATGCCTTTAGGTGCTTCATGTCAGACAGCTCCGCACAGTTTCAAGCGGAGAGTTGCGTGTACCATAAAGTTGGCATTCCACGACACCCCTGTAAATAAAAGCCAAGCAAGGTCACAGACGGCTGTGAGTTGTTGTGAACACCATGTGAACACCCTTTTAAACATGGTTTCACGTGTTTTTCTCTGTCTAAACCATGTAAGAGTCCCTAATTCAAGTTACCCAAATCGCCGTTGCCGTGGGGGTAGCTTCGGATTTGCTTCCTTCCGAGTCCATGAGATTCCAATGACTCGCGATTGCGAGTCTGCTCACAGAGCGAGCTCAGACGTCAACGATCCTCAAAAAGGTGCGAATGATCTTGGATGCTCGTTCTCATAAAGAACCCGCCAGGCAACACGAGCTCAATGAGAGAGGTCCTCCAGCGGGTTCCAATATTTGTTTTTTGCACACATCAGACTCCCTCCTTCCACCTGGCCTCAGCTGGCCTGCTTGTCATTGATGCTCGGCATGTGGTGGCTACTTTTATTGGCATTGTGGCTCGAGCATGATCCACTCCCGCACGCATGATGCTCATGCGGTGGCCTTGGCCTCGGCTGTCAAATCAAAGCGAGGTTGCTGTTGGTAAGGCGGTATTTACGTGGAACAGGTAAGGCCGATGGAAACAAACTTGTGAACAAATTGTGAATGGAACAAATTGTGAATGGAACAAATTGTGAATGCAGATGACCCCCCCCCCCCGAAGATAGAGACACATAGGTACAAATCAACCCTTGGAGGACAGGACTGCTCGTGATGATTCGTGCGACGCGCATGGCCTGAGTGCCCAAACAGCCCATTGGCCATTTGAGTAGGTTCTATTACCTCGTTTTGGGCTGGTATAGTAAGCCATATACGTAGGTCTGTCTGGGGGCGGGGGGTAATCCTTTTGGATGGCTTTAGAGGGAAACCAACAGGAAAGACCGTTTTGAGGGGGGGGCCTTTCAAAAAGCAAACCCTTTTAGACCTTCATGATCTTGGAACCAAATGTGAGTTGGAGTTTGTGTTGGGCTGAGGTCATAAGCCTTCACCGCGAGCCAGAACTTGCATGTGGGAAGGACGCAGCCAGCTGCAAGCGAAGCTCTGCCTACACCAACCCCATCCAACCCCCCCGGATTGTGGTTTAAGGGAAACACATTACGAAGCACCAGCTGTTCTATCATAAATTGAAGGACGCATTGGGAGTCGGGGGTGGGGGCAAGGGACACCCTGGGAGATATCAGCATATGGAAATATCCAATCCGTGCGGGGGTCAAAGTAGGAAGGTACTTGGACCCGGGATTACATCAGCATTTGGAGGCTGTGTGTCGGGCCATCTCACTGCTTTTTGCCCCAGACTTGGCTGAGAGTATTCATTTTTTGTGCTTTGGCGGGGATTTCCCCTGGATTGGCGTTTGGACATCCGAGATTTCGACTTCGGATAGGATGCAGCGCTTGACATGTGCGGGGAGAAGCCTGAGGCCAGGTATGGACGATCTCTGAGGGTTCTATTTGGTTTAGGACTAGGGCTCAGTTGTTCAGGGCATATTTCTCAACCCCAGGTGGTTTCCCTGGGTGAAATGTGTGGAATCAGACCACTAAACTGGGGTTGAAGGAAGCTGATATGGGGTCAACATTTGGGGTCAGTTGTTCAGGTGACCCTTCTCCCCACCCTGCAGGTCTCCTCTAGTGCAACTAAGAAAAGGGGTCCTTCGCGACCCGAAGCCAACTGTCAGGCAACTTGATGGTTTGGTTTGGATTTGGATTTGAAGCCTTGGCTTTTGAGGGGAAATGGGAAGCTATCCATTCGCCACCAAACCGGCTCCGAACCGATCAGAAGGAAGCTCAGTCCAAAGCCGACAGCTTCACCTAATTAGTTCCGAGTCCTTGCAAGTGAGAGGGTGGCTAGTCGTAAAATTGGGGAGCCCAAAGAAGCTTTTTTGATTTGTTTGTGGTCTCCCTTAAGCAAACACCCAAAAGGGGACCCCTTAAGCAAAGGCACACTGGGCCGCTCATGAAACCCTGGCAGGTCCGTTGGGGGGTCGTTTCCCTTCAACATCCAATATAACTGGGAAATTCAACAACGCATTGCAAGCATTTGAACATGTGTTATTGGCATGCCCACCCACCAGTCACACTGCAAACCAATAAGGCCAAAAAGACAAGCAACGGACCAGCAACGGACCAGTTCATTGCATTTTGAGGAGGACACTGTGCTAATCCCCTTGAAATAAATGGATCCATCCGCATTACAACGATGAACACTTTTATACATGAGACCAGGAGGCCCAAAAACAAACAAGCCATGTAGACGTTCTTCAGTCTGAGAAGCAGCCAGACGAATCTGGAGAGGTGCATCACGGCCCTCCTCACTTGCCCGCCGTCGTGTGTGCGGTATGTGTTTGTTTGAGGCTCAGTACCCTTTGCACCTTGGTTTACAGGGACACCCCAAGGAAACTCGACATCCATTCTTGTGGGTCGAAGGACAACTCAAATCCATGTTTTATTGGGGGTCCCTTTTCTTGTGAGGGTCCCCGTATATTCTGGCAGACACCCCATGAAAACGCGCTTGGGCAGGCTGGGCCCAGGAAGGGCGACAAGGATACGCAGGCATGGGCGGCCGGTGGCCTTCTCAACCACGGTACTGAAAACCGGTTAAGCGCGTGGAAGGTTCTTGAGAGGAAGATTGCTTTCCTGTTTGGGGTGTCCACTTCAATGATTGGAAGGGTTGGTCGAAGACTTGGGACCATGTGTCATCTCGTTTACCAAAGACCCATGCCCGGAACAAATGATGGATTCCACCTAAGGGTCAGAGTTCCATTAGGGTGTTCCCCTTTGAGACACATCCAAGACGAGTTCCAAGCCCCGGCTAGGGCTTGATGGTCATTGACCTGGCGCTGGAGCTGCATCGGCGTGCCAAGGCGGCCACCGGGTTGGAAGGTGCCGCCGGTCAACATGTTCGAAAGGCGCCCCAGGGCCCGGATAAAAACGGAGCTCGCTAACCTGGAAGCTGACCATTCTTAGGACAATTTGAGGACCTCCAGTCAGGGTTCGTAGGGTATGTGTTGGCTGGAGTTGGTATCCTTTTCTGGATGGTTTCAAATGGAAACCAAGGCGAGAAGTCCGAAATCCATCTCTGGGGTCCCCCTGTTTGATTTGTTTAGCAGGTTCGAACATTCCGATCTTGTGGGTTAAACGAAGCCGACGCCAGGGAACAAACCAGTTGCCCAAGAGTTCCCCGGGTTTACAGTGCACTGAATTTGTACCCCAAAACGGGTTTGAGTTTTTAAACAATTTGGTGGACATCGTTTTGGGGGTTCATGTCCACCAACCACCTTTGAGGCGGTTCTCTGCAAAATTCAAGCCCAAATAGGGGGACCCCTTCAGAAGGATGTCATGTTGTGCCGCCTAAACGGGTGGGTACCCAAATGGGGGTGGGACCCTTTCCTTTTTTCTTTTCTTCGGAGAACCACAGGGAACCCACAATTATTATTGGGGGAGTCCCCTGTTTGAAGACACACCCAGATGTGGCTTTGCCACCATGTTGTCAACCCCGAAAGCTAGCTTTGACCCTGCTTGAGCAACCGACAATTGGTAGCCCCCCAGTGCTCAAATGGGAGGGTTAGCAGAGGCTTTTGCTGCTTGTTGGACCTTGAGACTTGATGCCCCCAGATTCAAAGGACACCTGGACCTTAAAAGGGGGGGTTGTTCTTTGAATAGTTGGCTCAGAGTCCGTTTTTGAGGTCGCTGCAAAGCCCCTTCGGGGCAAACAACAACAAGCAAAAACAACACGCGACTCGTAGGCTGCTTGGGCATCCGACAGGTCTTTGCGATGGCGGGTGACACGATAAGGGCGAAGGCGCCGGGTGACCTAGAGGCTCTTCGTCTTTGCGCAATTGGGGGGAGGGCGATGTTTTTGCGGGCGAGGGACTTGATCAAAGCTGATTGTGGACCCTTGAGGTTCCCCTTTTTGCCTAATTTTTTTTGGTTGCAGGGATAATGGAAGACTGGCCAAGGCTCGAATGACCCGCATTTGCCAGTTTGACACACGTTCCAGTGGCACTCGGGGATTCCAGCCAATCACTTGGGGGGTGCTTTTGTTCTCATATCTGGGTCTAGCCCGAGTTCATGCACGGCTTCTGATGTCCGGCTTTGGCCGTCGGAAGGCCAACTGGTGCGACCATGAGGAGCCTGCCATGGCCTGCTTCCAACTCACAGTTGCCTCTTTTAAAGTCTTGAGTGAGTTGCGAGGATGTCCCAAGGTCGTGGAGGATGCACAGCTGCGTCGACTTTTCAAGCATAGTGTTACTGTGGACGGCCATTGTCAGGTTTTCCGAATCTCGGATCCAAGAATGCCCCACAGGATGTTGTTTGCCATGGCGCGGTCAAAGTAGCTGGTCTTTGGCGTATCTTTAACCTCTTTTGCTTTTGGGGTTGGAAACCCTTGGATGCGCACTGCAGATTGTTTTTTCCTTTCCCACAACAAAGTTTCCTTGAGGGGGTGGTCTCCCCCAAGTCTACGAGCCAGTTTGGGGGATACCAGACATTTCCTGGAGTAGTTATGGCCAACAATGGTATTGCTTCATGTAGATGACTCCCCCGCGCATTAACATGAAACCCGACCAAAACGAGTTGTTTTTTCTCCGCCTGTTTGGGTTCCATGTTCATTTGCAAGAGGTGTTTTCCTGCAGTCAGGCAACCCGTCGGTGGTGATTGGGACCCCTGGTCCGCCCCGAAACACCTCCATCCAAGTCACAAGGAAAGCAGATGGATTGGGCATTGCTCAAAGTGAAGGACTCTTGGGACTCCCAATCAAAATGGGTGGCTCGTCGCTTTTGGAGGGAACCTCGCAATTTGGCGGTTTTAGGAAACCAAGAGGGACACAACACGAATTTGGAGGGTGTATTTCAGACACCCAAATCAACCGGATTATTGATCCAGGGCTCCGTTCAAGATCAGTCCATGTTTCCGCGGCATGAGGCTCGTAGAAAGTAGCATCGACCAGCTGGTCACCGCTCGAGCCTCAAGCCTTCTGACGTCGGTGACTCTTTAGACACTGAGACGAGCCAAAATGTCGCCCCCTATTTAGAAAAACCCGCCTTCGACCCCTGATTAATAAAGCCCCCAGTTATGTCTCAGGAGGCCCTTCTCGGAGAATGGAATCCCCACAAAACGGGGGTTTTGTCATCAGGGGAGTTTCTCAAAATGCTGTCGAGTGCAGCCCGAGGATATGACATGCGCACCAAGATACCCCTATCGGGGTTAACCAAATTCCCATGTCACGTGACAAGTATTGATCGTGGCTCAAACCATCTCACCTGATTCCCGCTTTCACCAAGGGCGCCTTAAAGGATACACTTAAATTCTGGGCGTGTCTTTTGACCCCCCCCCAAAAAAAACAAATGGCTTCTGCTTTCCTTGTGGTTTCCCTTTAGTTGCCACAAATAGATACACATGAAGTACTTTTTTGTCACCGAGGCCAAGGGCCTCATGCCGCGGGGTCGGATCCTCCAACTGCTGGAGTCCCTCCTGGAGGCGGTTGCGGCCAGCGATTCAGCTGAGTCGGAGATTTTGCCTTGACACTTGGGCTTTGGCCCATGTGAAGAGCAGAAGTTGTTTTGGGCTCGGAAGGTTTTGGTGATCAACCGTCATCTTTGTGCGTTGTTGCTGGAAATCACTGTTTGTCTTTCCTTACTTCATTTGCTGTCGTCATGTTGGAAACTGTTATGATGGCTTTGGTCACCCCCAGTGCCTGGTGGATGCGCAAGATTGCTGAAATGAAAGGCAGCCCAATGGTGTGCTTCTCCAATTTGGGGAGGGGGGAAGCTCCAAAACAGCCCCATCAAACAATTGATAAAGAAAGCTGTGGCGGCCTTTCAATCCCATCGTCTTGCGGGACAAGCCAAACACTGGCTTCTTTTCATATCTGGCCAATCTAGCCCTTTGAATAAACCCATACGGGTCCGCCCAAGCATGATGTCAGCCAAGTACCGCTGGGCACGCTCTTGCGGCTTTTGCCCGATTTTTGTCATTTTGGTGGGTTATTCTCATGGTCAGACGTTGGTTGCCTTTGTTAACTCTTTGCCTTGTTGGTGTTCCAGCATGTCTCCTTGAACATGCAAAAGGAGCGATTTTTGTGAGGGGCCGGATCTGTTTAAGGTGGGATTCCACAGAACGAAGCGAGGCTTTTGGCGCTCAGCAGGGAAGAATCTGCCCTCCCATTGCTCGCAAGCGAATCCCCCGGTGGTCGACCCCGAATTCACCTCGCTTGTTTGATAAACAAGCAAATCCGGGCTTCCCTTTTCCGGGGCGGTTCTTTGCAGGTCTGGCACACCGAAGGCATCGTGCTGGTGCGCTGCTCAAGTTTGGTTTTGCCAGCGCCGAGAACCAGAGGGCCGTGATTCCACGACCTGAATGGCCTAGATGAGTTTGTCGTTGTTTGAGGTAATGTTAGGTTGCGAATAATAAATGGGGAGTCAATACACAAAAAACATCCCAAAATTATTCACACCCCTGAAAAGCAAAAGGGGGAGTTAATACACAACAGTTTTTGTGAGGGGCAAAAATTCCGGAAACATGTTCCCCCAACAAAAATTATAATTAATCCCTAGTTCAGTGCAACTCCTGTCTCTCTCTGCCCCGCCCGCCCCCCCCAACCTACCACCACCACCAACAAGGAGATGATGATTGAAGTCCCTGTAAAGGAAGTTTAACTGAGGTCCCCAACAGCCAAATTCTTTATGACAGCCCTTACTAAAAGTTGTACCCTGCCAAATTTTCAAGGGGGTAGTACAGGGAACACCCAGGAAGCCAATAATGAAATTTGTTTAAGGGGGGTTAATTGAGAACAGTTTTTTAGCACTGGGCCAGGGATGCCTGCAGGGAAAAGGGCTTCCCTTTCCAAAGAACTACAGATCTCCCCAGAAAAGGAAGTTTCCTTTCCAAAGAACTACTGAGTCTCTTCAGAAAAGGAAGTTTAACTGAGGCCCCAACAGCCAAATTCTTTATGACAGCCCTTACTAAAAGTTGCACCCTGCCAACTGTTCAAGGGGGTAGTACAGGGAACACCCAGGAAGCCGATAATGAGATTTGTTTAAGGGGAGTTAATTGAGAAAAGTTTTTTAGGACTGGGGCCAGGGAATACTAAACCAATACTACACCAATTCTAAACAGTACTAAGCCAGTCAACCAGAATACTAAACCAATACTAAACCAATTCTAAGCAGAACTAAGCCAGTCAACCAGAATACTAAACCAATACTAAACCAATACTAAACCAATTCTAAGCAGTACTAAGCCAGTCAGCAAGAATACTAAACCAATACTAAACCAATTCTAAGCAGTACTTAGCCAGTCAGCAAGAATACTAAACCAATACTAAACCAATTCTAAGCAGTACTAAGCCAGTCAGCAAGAATACTAAACCAATACTAACCAATACTTACTGGAATACTACTTAGGGAAGACCCGGTCTGACCCTCATTTTGTTTTTAGGGTTTCCTCTATTGACCCCCCCCATTTTGTTTGAGGGGGGGGGGCCTTTATTATTCACTCCCCAACATTACCCTTTTCAGGCACGGTTTAAGGGAAACCAAGAGGAACACCGCATTTTTGAGGGGGGGTGGGGTCCCCCAGTAAAGACAGACCCGTATAGACCTTTCTAGGCATTCTGGTACTGTAGTTCAGTGGAAGCAAGAGGAGCTCAGATCTTGCTGTTCAATCATGTCAAGCGAGGAGTAGTAACCCCGAAATGAATAGGGTGCGGTTTCCCCTCAAAACGGGATGCGTTCGGTGTTTGTTTTGTCGGCTTCTCTGAGGCTGAGGACAGCGACATCGTGTCAGACCTGGAGCGCTGCGTTTCAGAGGCACTTCGGAAGGCGGGCGGAGTTCGCGGCTCCAAAAAGGCACCAGAAATGCACCAAATGGGCATTGGGATGTGGGGCACATTGGTCACACTGCGGTCACACTGAACCAAACTACCAGTTAGCTGAAAGGGCGGGTTGCTCGCCAAGAGACATTCTTCCTCGGGAGTGCTGGTCGGGCCTCGGCGATTGGCGCATGGGACACCTGGCATAAAATTTGAGGCAAGCCCTGGAAGGCCATGTTTCTCAAGAGCTTCAGGTCCTATACCCAGTATGCATCTTGGACCCACAAGGGCAGTCTGAGATTTGAGAAATCTAGAGTTTCAAGCGATTGATATACTATGAACCAGAGGCAGCCTCTCTCCTGAAATCTAAATTGATCCAAGAAAGATCTCATACCTTGCGAGGAGATCGTGGGAGGATGCCAGGCTCCAACCCATGTGTTTTGCGGATCGGATCCAAGCTTGGGCTCAATGTGGGCGCGGTACATTTCGTTCACAATCAATGCCTAGTCCTGGCAGAGATGTGTGTGTCGTAACATAAAGAGCTCAACAAGTCTTTGCTTGCCGTCGGTCTCCCTTTGAAGCTACCCAAAAAAGGGTCCAGCATTTTTGATAAATCCCCAGATGATAGTCGCTTCACTTGTTTTGGTGTCCCAGGGACTCTGGATTATGATAAGGGATCCCTCCACTTTGAACGGAGCAAGCCAAGCTTTTGTGGTTGCCCTTGGTTAGCATCAAGTCAACTCTACCCTGGGCTCCTTTGAACTAATCACCCAGACTCTTCTTGTTTCTTTTTTTTGGGGGGTCCATTTACCCATTCCAGTGGCAGCCTCTTTCCCTTTCAGTTTGCTTCCCTGCCAAAGATTGTTCTCCCCATTTTTGAACTACCCAACAATCTGCCAGGAGTCATTGCCCACCCTTGGCTCGGGCTCGCTCGGTCAGGTCGCAAAAGCTCCTGTAGTCGCCGCAGTGGCCGCCAAGCTTGTGCTTGGAGGCGTGCAAAGCGGTTCCCGCCGTCTTGGAGAGAGATCGCTTCTCCATCCTAAGGGATGGATGCCTCACAGTGGCTCTATTTTGGGGCTCAAAATGAATTCGCTTGGGGTGGTCCCTTTGAACCGCCAGTTGGAGGGAAAATAAGATTTGGGGGTTCCGTTTTGATTCACTTGGGCAACTTTCAGGATGCTACCTTTGGATTGGACCCAGTGTTGTCTCATATCCCTGCGACTGCAACTCCAGCGGGTCCCAAATCCTCTCCCCCCACAAGTTGCAGTTCGCACCAGGGGAGGTTGGCCACCAGCATACTTTGCATGTTGGGGAACCAGAAAAAGTACCCATGGTTGGTGCACGGTGGCGACATGTGGCGACACAAAACGACCTGGGGCCTTTCTTGGTGCCGAAAAAGGCTGGCAAGTTGCCCTATCCGGATTCCACCCTGGGCTTGAAAAAGGTCAAGGTGGGGAAAAGGGGCCTTAGAAATCTTCTGCCGATGGCTACGTACTTAAGAGTGGGAACCACCTCGACTCAAGTTTGGTGGGCATGCAAGCTTCACCGAATTCTGATGTCCACCAAGGGAAAGGGGTCCCCAACTACTCACATTCTTATGAGTGCTTTGTGATGAACTGAAAAGCCGCCTTGATCAGCTTGAATACATAGCTTGGTAAATGACATCGCAGCTTGGACATTTAGTCGTACAAGACGACGCCAGGTTGGATGCTAGACGAGCGCTATGGATTGGATCGCTGGGAAGCGAAAGTCCCACGCCCTGAAATCGGTTCAAACAAGGACCCTGATTTTAGGGTGGATGGGTACAATCGGGACGATACAACGCAAGGGGTCGATACAACGCGCGTCACGCATATGAGTGAAGCAATCTACGTTTGATAGTGCTAAAGCCAAACAGCACTCACTGCTTTGCCGTGTGTCTTTATGTCTTTTTGCTTTATTTGGTTGCTGCTTATTAAACTTTGTTCTCTCACTCGTTTGTTGCGTGCTCATTTGTTTGCTCATTCCCGCCCCGCGTGGCACCCGCAGGTTGCGGCGCGACTCCCAGCACGGCTTCCGAGAGCACATCCGCGCGAGGCCGAACCGGCAGTCCAAGCATCAGCTTCAACTTTGCAAGTTGGGCTATCTCCATGTTTTTGAGGCAGCTCAATCGAGTTTTGGCCAGTCAACTCAGGACAGCGTCCGCCATTTTTCTCTTATAGTTTCCTTTGCGACAAATCTACTCTTTGCGTAAGAGGCCCAAGTTTTGAGGGTCCGTGTCGCATCCAACTCACCCAGATCAATTGGCCTGGAGTTCTCGGGGAGCAGCTCCAGCGATTCTGACGGCGTGTTTTACCTTTTTTTGGGGTTGGTTTCAAAGGAAACCAAAAGGACACCCACCATTTTGGGACCCTAAAAAAAGACACCCCCCACGTAGCTTCTCATATATTTTTGTTTGGACTAGGTCCGCGGGGGAACTCAGTAAATGTCCCACAAACACCAGGGGACTCACTAATGTTCCCATGACCTCGTGGGGAGATCAGTGATTTGGACCGTTGCTCAGCAAATCAGAGGGCAAACGTCAATTGACTTTGGGCACTTGCACATGTTCCAGGATGGGTTTGTCTCCAACTGTGCCATATTCTGCAGACACCTTCAATTGGTCCGTAGGGATGGTCGTCAGTGCCTTCATAAGGAATTTGTAATGAGTTTTGAGATTGGCACAACTGGGGGCCCGCAATTGGGGCCCATGCAATTTCGCATCTTTGTTTTTCAGCCGCGAACAGTGAGATGTCCTACAAAGCACAGGCTCTCTTTCTGTTGGAAAAGTAGTCTTCCGATGTTTCTGGGTGCCAAACATTTTAACATTTACATTTGCGGAAAGAAAACCAAAACAGGATGGCACCCAGATTTGTGCTTGTGAGGGTACCCTTCAAAAGAGACCCAGCGTGTTGCAGGTCTTGTGGCCCGTTACAAGCAAAGCCTGGCACGGGGGTGTACCCAAAACCATGGTAAGGAGTGAAACTCGGTGGATATCCACACCTATGTTTGGCTGCACCATTGTCCCCGTACGCGGTGGAACCTAACACGGCCCCTTCCTTTTGCCGTTGGGGTGTCCCCTCGTTTCAGGAACCCTTTCTTGGTGGTTTGGATTAGCGGTTTAGGATTTGAGCCCGGGTTTTGGTCGAGTCAATGGGGACTCTAAACCTCCAACAATTCCAAACCTCCAATCCTCCAATCCAAACCTATCCAAATGGTCCAAACCTCGATCCAATCCACCAGAGCTCCCGGGGAAGCGGATCTTTGGGCCCCACCTCGCCCGGGATTTCGGGGCCCGGACGACTGACGGCAGGCGACTGCATCGCGCTGGACCCAAGGAGCGGGGGCCTGCTGAATGCCGCGGCCGCCGCGGCGAATGCGCTCCGGCAGCCGATTTGGGTGTGGGCAACATCCCAAAAAGGGTCCATTGGGTATATAAATTCCCAAAAAGGGGGGGCGGCCACTAAATGGCGGTTGTGTTGATCACTCCCTGAGTCCAGCGACTTTGGTGTCACTTTTGGGGTTTGGAAAAGGAAAGTACAAAGTTAATTAGGAACTTTGATTGTACTTTTGCCGAGTCCAGTGAACTTTCTCTAGTTTAATGGCAAAGTTCTTTAGTCACTCAGGGCTCACTCCCTGAGTCCTTGGACCAAGGACTCACTTGGGCTTGGACCAGGGTGGCAAAGAAGAAATCCTCTAGTTGTTTTTGTTGGTTGATCCCGCTCAGGAAGTGAGCATGGCAACTATGTTCCCACATTTACCCTGAGGGTTTCCTCAAATGTTAGTATACAAAAGTCTACATGGAGTGGACGTTGGTTAGTGTATGCCATTTATCGGCTTCATCCATCCCAACTGGTGTAGGATGTTGCCGATTCACTGCATAAACGGTGTCTTCGTTGGCTTGGTTCGGATCGTCATTTGTTGGTGTTGCCTTTCGGTCAGAGACTACTGTTTGATAACAGTTGTGTCGCTTTGACTTTCAGAAACGGGAACTAGCCATGCCGTATTGTAGAACATCTCGATCGTGTCGCAAAAGAGAGTTGTTGACTCCTGACTTCACACATTCAGTATTAGCACGTGTTGTGTGCAAGGCCAAATTGCTTGTAGTGCGTTCGACTCCTTCAGCCTTTCCAACATGAACGCTTAATGTCATCTCTTTTCTTAATTGCACAATGAACGCCGAAACATGTCTCAGGGCCGGCTTTTTGCCTTGGTGCATGGACAAGCGATCTTGGCGAGCCTCGCTTTGGTTTGACGCTCCTCATTCACTCGAGACTCAACATACGTCATGAAAGCAATGTGAAAGATGCCACAGCAACATCAATCCCTCCCCAACCACCGACCTACTGTGCTTGATTGCGTCCTGGCTTGCCTTAGACATGAATCACTGAGGCGCGCATCGTCGACATCGATGATGCCTGCAGTGGAGTCGACTGGGGAGAAGGCACAGCGGTGCATTGACGGGCACATGCTCATGCCCCCTACTCCACGGACAATTCCTCCTGTTGTAGTCAGGGTTGACATCATACCCCGAAGAAGCGGAAGAAAGTGGGTGGGTGCACGAGGTATTCAGCAGGTGGGTTCTTTTGATTTATGATCTCCAAATTGTGCCACTTGAAGCTCGCGTTTTGGAACCCCAAATCGCCGCATAAAGCACCCGTGGCCACTGGGCAACTGGGTGAAACTGCAGAAGTGGAACTCTGCGTTGACCACCCCCATTCATTTTTCCCGTAAGAATCCGCTCCTGATTGAGGGCCAGCAGTTTCTTGTTCTCAGCAGGGACGCTAGGATTTCAGCTGCTAACCGGCTAACCTTTCCAAAAAAAAAAACAAAAACTGGCCAAGAATGTGACATTCCATGACATTCCCTACCAACATCAAGTGAGAGCACTTTGTCGCTTTGGTTGAAAGCAGCTTGTTTCACTTTGGTTCCCTTTCATTTACCACTGCCATTGTCTAGGCACTCGAGACACCAAGGCGCAAACCTAATTTTGCTGGTACAAACGTCACTCCAGCATCCCTTGATGACTGGCTAAATAGGCCATGCGTTGTAGTCTCCCCAAAAGGAAAACGACAATAACATGGGATGGGTATGCGAAGTGTTATACTTTCCCACATTATGTTGCTTCCTATTGTAGTTTTCGCATACCCATCCCATAAATACCCAGACCAGCTCATAAGTATAACAACATGGGAAAAGTTTAGGTTTTATATTTGTATTCCAGACCCCTAAATTTGGCTCCCTCAGCAAGACGAGGCTTCGGCTCCGACTCGACAGATTCCCGGGAGGTAGCAGCCACATCAGCTCCCATCAGCCCACGCCCTTGGCATCGCCCCGCACCCGAAGTCCACCCTCCGAGTTGGAGGCCGGCCAGTCGAGGGCCAGATTTTCTTGACTGCTGTTGGGCAACGGATCCTTAGACTTTTTAACTTTTGGGTTGAAATAAAGGTGTTTTTTGTTCACTAAACCCCCCAAAAAGTTGTCAACTTTTTTTGCAGGGGGATCAAGAGCAACCAAGATTTCTTGCCGGTGGTATAGGTAGGGAATGTGGGAATGAACCCAGGGATTTCCTTAAAGGAAACCACCAGTTGGATGGGTTCATAAGGGTCATTCCATTTTTTCATTCCCTGCCTATCGCACCATCAAGTGTTTGTTTATCTCTGGGTTGTGGGATGACTCGGGGTTTATCCAACCACGTCTGTGATACTTTTGCGAATCTTCCCCCTTATTTGGAGGGGGAGGGGGTAGTCTTTGGGAAGCCCTTTCTGTGGTATCACCGAAGTGGATTCCATTTCCCACAGCCCTGGTGTTTATCCTTGGGAGCTCTCCTCCATATGGCTGGGTCAAAATTAAGCCACCAGGTAACCGCAGGTGTTTAATTAGTCCTTGTCTCCATTCACTAGGATTCCATGTTGGGTAGCTGTTTTTGACCCACACCCACATGTTTGTTATTGTTACTAGTTTCTAGTATATACTATTATTTGTTTCTTAGGGGAAGCAGATCATTAACACATTGTGTTTGGCGCACTCCAGAGTTGGGCCGGTTTTGTGTGATCCAAAGCTAGCCGCCTGAGCCAGCGCAAAGTCACATGTTGGGATGTTGAAAGGGGACATTAGGACCCCTTTCCCCAGGCTGCACTGAGCAAAAATGGTCAAACAGCTTTCAAGTTCAATCCGGATCCCATACCACCTGAAACTGAGTGTGCAAAGTGGCACCTCAAAAGTAAGGCAAATAGATTCTGTCTTAGTTGCTGGGGTCTCCAAAACATGCTACATGTTTTGTGGCAATATGTGCCAGCATTTGAACATATGTTCGGTGTACCCCTGGCTTTTCAGCCAGGTGGGCTGGCAGCTGGTCTTCAGGGTCAGGTGTGCTACAGTCCCCCTTTTCTTGGGGTGGGGATGGTCGGGGTGGTCCTCAACCAATCAGCTCACTACCAAGAGGGTACGTTGTTGATTCCTTTTTGGTACAATATTACAGATGTTTGTTCACAAAGATGATGGTGACAGAAAAGATATGGCTGAATGTTGACCAATGTTTGTTGCTGTTTACACAAGTTCATGCCCGGCATCAGGCTGATGTTCCTGGATGACAGGACTCTAGGCAACCATGACAAGGACTTAAAAGCGTTAGTTTTATTTGCTCTGTCACATAGACCCATAGACTTGCATGACCAGGAAATTAGCTTTTCGCCGGTGCACTATAGACTACATATGGAGCAGACTCTGAAGCCAGGTATTTTTCTGTGTGGGCGCGATCGATCTTCGTCAGGTGGCCACAGAGCCGGCACTTCACTTGCCCAACAGCGAGATGCGCATGGCCGAGTACAAAGCGCCGGCCCGGACCTCAAGGCCTCGAGGTGGTTTCCCTTGAAGGCAACATCCAGCAAGGGTACCCTCAAAAAACACACGGCACGCGCACGCCCATATGGCGATTCGGGGAATGGACGAAATGGACCGAGCCTCGGGTTTTTATGGGGGCCAAGCAGTCAGTTGAGCGCCCCAATTTGGTTGGGGTGGCAAAGCCAGTATCAATCTTTACAACGACAGCACAAACGTCAATGGAGTTTGTCCAGAGGCTTCACACATGGTGTTTTTTTCTGGATGCACGCTACTTGTGAGGGACATTGAGGAACGAGTTCAGTTTCCGATTTCCTCTGGGGAAACCTTTGTAGTTTTGACCACGGCTCAGTATTGTTGGAACATAAATGGCACTGACTGGACCTTGAAACCTACCGACTCCAACGCAATGATGAGGGAATTCCTGGACAAATTCTGATTCGAAATAGACATTGTATCGTGACTTCTTAATGAGGGTCCTATTTGGACAGAAATTCCGCTGATTTTGGCTGTCTAATCTTTCTTTTGCCAGTGCCTTGCTTTTCATTTTTAGTTCAGAGGCACTGGTTTTACTTTTCATTGATGTAGATGGTGTTGTCGATGGCACTGGAGCACATCTATTTATTTGCCAAACGGATGGCAGAATGCTGGCAGAGGGTGCTACCGGCAGGCCCCTTAGCCGGTCACTCGGTCTTGGTTGTTTGGTGAAATGTCTTTAGGAGCTTCTTCTTTCATCTTACCCTTAGGGATGGTGTCCCATTTGCCCTTTGCAAGAACATGTGGTTCAAATCCCCAAACCACCAATCCAAACCACCAATCGAGGGTCAACTGATGTTTCGTGAACAACCCTTTTGAAATGAAGGTGCTGGTTATCAATAGCTGTCTGAAGGTTCCAAACCGCAAAATATGCTTCGCACCAGGTAGTAGGTGGTGCATCCCAGTGGTCATGGGATTTTCATCCATGCCGACTGGTGCAGGATTTTTGTCCATCCACGGTATGTTCAGATTGTGGATACAATGTGTCATTGTCTGTCTGAGCAGTTTGAACAGCACAGGCCTTCCAAGTTTTGCTTCATCGTCGGAAGGTAAGGCAAAGGCCAAGGGAAGAACACGGCGCATGCTTGCAGCGGAAAGTGGTGTCTAAACAGTCGAAACAGTTCGTTCCCGACAAGTTGGAAGGAAGCTAACCATAGTCCTGGTACTTCAGGGGGCTTCTTGTTCCAAAGTTGCAACATTCGGGGCAGTGAATTTAGAACTGCTGCCGAGGATGAGCCCCTGATCGAAAAGACAGGAGGCACTTTAGAACTGGCCGGGCGCACGGAGATTGAATTCCCACGCTTGGTGTAATTGAGGTGGTTTTTTGTTGGGTTTGCGTTGGTTGGGTTTGTGTTTGGTTGTGTGTGTGTGTGTTGCAGAATATTGATTGTTTTGTTTGGCTTTTTGTTGGCCGATCGGTCGGCGGGTCGGTCGGTCTGTTGGTGGTTTGTTTGTTGGATGTTGGCCATGTTACAGGTGTCTAGTCTGCTTCTAAGATTATTCCAAGCCGGACAAAGCAAGAAAGCCTTTGTATTGATGCAGCGACTGTTGCTCTTAGGCTTTCGCAAGGGTAGTTGCATAGTTGCCCAGCAAGCTACGTCTTTGTTTGTTTGCCAAGCTTTCCAAAAGCCGGGTGCAGAACCGATTTGCTGTAAACATTGTGAAGACCCAGCTAACAAGCTCTTGTCGTGCCGCAAACTCCGGTGCATCAAGTCTTACATTGGCAAACTAGGCATGACTTCTTTGTGGGCTTGCGTGCTCCTCCAATGCTCCAATATCCCGCTTCCCCCGGTCTACCCTTCACGGGACAGCGAATGCATTGACCAAATGATGCCATTTGCAACTATCATTCAACACTTTAAGGACAGCTTTTTCCAGAAACAGAAAGCGAGCGTATTTTGGGGTTCCCCCAAACTTGTACCAAGGGATGGTTTCCGCTGAGATCGGCTCGCCGCGTGCAAGGGTCCATTGCTGAATTTCCCTTGTTTGGTTTCACACACCAGACGTTTGGCCCATAGCTCAGATTCCTTAGGGCCGGAATTGGCCCTCTTTGTCATAGTTTTAAGGGAAACCAGAAGGCAATCAAGCGCCTGAAGGCATCCGTAATTTTGAGACAAACCTCTTATAGGGGTGATTTTCTACTCAGTTGCCCAAAGCCGACCTTTCTGACCTTTTAGTTTCCTCATGTTGGGTCCATTTTTAGTCATGCCCCCAAAAGGTTAGCCTCTTATTTTCCGGTCTCAGGGCAACATATCGAGCCTATAGGTTGCTTCCTGGCTGCTCAGGTCAACGGAGCGCTGCAAGGCACGCGGCTCTTTTTGCGCGCGGAAGCAACTGGCGGCTGGAGAGATAGGGCGCGGAAAACGGATGGTTTTGCATAAAGGCTCTATTCGCCCACACCCCCAAAGGGGCAATTTTAGTAGGTGGGTTTTCCTGCCTCTGGGTAGAACCCCAAGTCAATGGAAGGCTTTGCGGCGCTGCTTCAAACCGTTATGTCAAAATCAGGCGCTGCTCAACATCGGCTTTGCTTTTGATTCCCCTTTGGTGCAACCAAACAGAGGATACCAATCCTCCAAAAGAACACTTTACCCAAATAGGGCGGCAACACCGTTCGGAAGGCGCCGGACGCTTCTGACTAGCGGTGGGAATCTGACTGGTACGATTTGAGGTGGAAAGCCAGGTTTGGCCGTCAGGGGCTCTGGCAAGGGGAGAAGGCTGACAGGGGAGAAGGCTTCTGACATGCAAAGACTTCCTAAGCTTCACCAATTACGTGGGCCCAAAAATGCATCCGATTCTTTCTTCCGCGCTTCTTGGGATTGGCCTTTAGACATGGAGAGCGGGTTCCACGACTAGCAGCTGTTAATCATTGCTAGATGTGGATTGTGGAGGGTAACGTTTGTGCCTCCTTCAAAAGGTGTTCAAGACAAGATTCATCTTTCCAACCTCTCAAGCTTCTTCCCAAAAGAATGCCAAACAGTGGCCTAGGACAGAGTGGCTAATGTGGCAGACAGAGCGACTAATGTGGAAATGCAATATTAATTGGTAAGTAGTGAAGTACTGTGTCTTAAAAATAAGGCTCCCCAAGCACGATGGGTTTCTCTTTGGCTTCCCTTTAAACCACCCCAAAAAGGGTACCCACAAAAAAGACACATCCATGTCGCGCAGTAGTCCAAAGACCAGTCACGGAAAGTACAGATTCCTATTGCGGGAACCATAACCATGGCCTTCAGAATGAGTGTTGACCATGTCGCACATGTTTTTGTTTATTTGAGACAGAATAAACACCTAGATGAGATAGATGAAGGTTAAGGCACTTTCCGGCGCCGCCCGTTTGATTCTTTGCGGGGCTTTGAGTAGACCACTTTGCCACCAGGGCTTCGTTATGACTCATGACGTAGGTTTCTTCATGAAGTGGACACCCTTTTGCACTCAGGGAAACCACAAAGAAACCAACCATGGACCCCTTGAGCGTTATTCCTCATAGAGGACACCGTTTTTCACCAAGGGAAACCCACAAAGAAAAGCCAACCATGGACCCCTTGAGCACCCATATGACACATTTCTTTCGCCAGGAAACACCGCCACCTCCGAGCTGCTTCTGCCGGCCATGAAGGCTCGTGTTCTCACATGTCCACTTAGACACCCAGTGGTTTGCGAGCCCTTTCCACGGTTTGCGAATCAGGTGGGGGGGGCCTTGATAAAGCCACATATGGCTAATGGAGCTATATGCAAGAAGATGGTTCATTTTGGTTAGACCGAGCAAAGTGCGCCCGTATGGAAATCCGCTGGTCTGCGAACTTGCCCAATGAGCCAAAAAAATGAATATTGACCGGGGGCTATGAGCAAACACTGAATTTGGGGAACTTTGGGACCTCCAAGCGGAAGGAATTTCCAAGCCCCTATCCATGAGCGGAGCCCTTTGGGAGAAGACGGACGTGGCTTGTTTTGCGGTTCCATGCAGCGCTGATTTCGGGGGCTGCGGACCTGGCACCGAGCAGAGGTAGCGGTGCCGGAGCCCGTGCCCAAGCCGCGTGGGGGGCCCAGGACCCGGGCCGAGGGAGAGGATGGGCTGGGAGTCCTGGGATGGGAGCAGAGGTCTGTTGGTTTTCGTGGCGATTTGGGTGCCTGTACCTTGGGAAAACAGTGGATATTCCGAATTGGACAAAAGGTTAAGCGCTTTTTGCAGGGTCAACAGCACCCAAGTTTGGGTGTGTCTGTTGTCGAGGCTCGGTGCAGTTTTTGGGGAAAGGGAAACCAGAAGGGACACAAAGCCACCAAAATGTCCACAAGCCAATAAGGGTTTGCGGGTAAACTCATACCCAGACTGCTTTGTCCTGTTTGGGGTCTCCAAACCGATCTTATATATTAGTGTGGACTGGAACAGAATCTGAGTCACAATACCGCCACCCTTTTTTATTCATGGAATTCGGGAGTCCCCACGCCCTTAATGGAATGAGGGGTGGGTGGGCGACTTTGACCCCTGAAGATCTTCATGTTGAATCCATTTTTGCGTAAAAGACTAGACAAAAGGAATTTAGGGCTTGTCTCAAAGAGAGCCCACAAAATGGTTGGTTTCTCATATTGAATATCCGGGTTTCCTCAGATGTCCATCAATTGGGGTCCAGCATTTCTACTTTCCTCAGGTGTTTTGGCTCATCTTCTCCTCAGGATGTTTGTTACGTGTGGTGCTTGGATTTTCTAGGGGCTTATAGTACGAAATGAAGAGGGTGCCCGCCTATGTTTGTACATGGGGGTTTGGGGTTGCCGCTGTCCCTTCTTTCGGCAGCTTTTGTACCTTGAACCTGAACTTGGCCCAAGGGGCTTTCACCTTTCTTTTTGTTCTGAGCAAAACTACTTGGGTGTTTGGCCAAGTTAGTAAGTGGTTGGCCACCGGGGGTTCGACCCACTATAACGAGGTTAACTCTACTTAGGGGCGTGTAAGAAGATTATAGCTTTTTGCTGACAACGTACTAACTTGGCCTAACACGCAAGCAGGCAGGATGTGTGTTGGGAAGCTGGCACGTGTAGAATAGATTCTAGAGTGGAGATATAGGGATTCAACCACAAAGAAAAGGTGCGATGTGATCCTCGCAATCCAGTCACCTTTTGACACGCCCAAATTGCGCCAACTGGCCATGGGCATGGAGCCAAAGAGCCAATGACGCAAGTCCCTGGCCAAGGGACACCACCCCTAAAGTTGTCGCCACAGTCGCCACAGGCTGCCTGAGCTTTTGCGGCTGGAAGCCGCGCTATCGAACCTCAGAGCCCTCCAAGACGCGGTGTGGGGGCACTCGGGCTGGAGCTGAGGGATATCAATCAATTTTTCGGGTTTTGGACCGAAGCTGGCGGTTTCCCTTTTGGCGTGCCTTGTGGCTTTCTGCTTGGTACTTAGGTTTGGATGCTGGGATAACTGGAGTGGTCTAAGCTGTTTTAAATTTTAGGGTGGACATCTCGGGCCATTGAGGGATACATGCGCGGTCGTGACTGGATGCTCTATTGGGGTGTCACTCCATGGTTAATTGGACCTTGATGGCCAGATGTGCCTGGTGTGGTCTAGCGTCTAGCTTGTTAGTCCGGTGGGCCAGCAGCAAGCGGCCAGGTATAAAGTGAACTTCCACTCGACCTGCTCCATTTGAGAAATCCGCAAGACATGTCCCAAGCTGAATGGTGGTCAACGGAAACAACCGGGTCCGAGAAGCATTTTTCAGAAGCCCTTCAAAGGCAACCACTTTCATGGAACTGTCAAGTGATGGACCCCTTGGACCGTTGTGGTTCCCAAAAGGTCTTCCGTATTTTCAAGGCAACCCAACTTGTAGCCACAGGCACTGAGTACCAAAGCGGGGCCTTACCTCTCTCTGTCGCAGAGGTTCCACAGGATCGCGTGACATCTTTGCCTTTGAACAGAGGTTTGAATCCGAGGCTCAGGGTTCAATGACCAAGGCTAAAGGGCTGTTTCTTCTGAAGGCCTCAGGACTCTGTGTTGGGGCCTCCGAAGCCATTCCCGGCTAGGCTTTTCTGAGCCGTCCAAGGCTTTTGTCGAGGTGGGCCATTTTAACACTACCAAAAGGGTGTGAATGAAAAGCCCCTTTTCGCCCTAATTTCCTCCGAATAGGGCCTTAGTAAGGTCTTAGTAGGATCGAGGTGTGGGGAGAACGAGAGGGAGGGGGGGAGTTAAGCACGTTTCCCTTTGGGCCAATTTGAAAATAGATGGTTTGCCTCTTGGTGGGGTTGTGTTTAAAGGGGACATGTACACAGGGGATGTTGGGACCACTGTTTGCCTAGTTTATTGCTGCCAGTCTCCTCCAAAAGGAGGCAGAAAGAACACCCAGAAGGAAGGGTTATAGTCCAGTTTGATTGGTGGTTTTTGTTGTAGTCCAGTGTCCAGGGTTGCTTCCCCATTCTTTTCAATTATCGTTCTTTACAAAGAAGGATCCATGGCAAAGAAGGATCCATGGAAAGAACGGGGAAGCTTCCCCAGGGTGGTTTCCCATGTATCCACAAGATCCAGGGGTTCAAATCCCCAAACCAATCCAAACCACGAAGTTACCTGACTGTTGGCTCTCGGTGGTCGCAAAGGAACCCTGTTCTAGTTGACCAGCTTGGCAGAAGAGGAACCTGCACATCCCCACCTGGCGGCGAGGGAGTCTTCCCCATCAACGGGAAAATGGAGCCACAAATGGAATTCCAGGGGTCACCCCTCTCCCCATGATCAAAGGGGGTGGTGATACCTGCACCTTTTAGTACACATATTTCCGTTCGGAACGCAGGATGAATAAAGCTTTGCCAGTTGTCCTTTTTTTTGGGGGGGGGGGTGTTCCCTGGACAACACCCGCGTTATCAACGGGGGTTGATGTTTTCGGGGTTCCCATTAGACTGCAAAGGGGACTTTGGCATAGGTGTCCTTTTTGGTTGATTTGCTTGAAAAGGGCAATTTCTGGTTTACCTGGTTCAATCAACTACCAGGGCCATCTATTCAGCCAAAAAGGACACCTATGGAAGTGATACTTGGGGGTCATTCATCTCCCCTGCCGGACACCAGCTCAGTTTTTTTCCCTCCCAGATTCATCTCCTGGTGGTTTGTTCAACGAAAAAGGAGGGCCAAGATCTCGACCCAACCCTGGGGTCTCTCGATTTGTTTTCCTGTATGGGTAGGGTTTAGGGTCATTGGTTCCCTCCATTTGTCCCCTGGGGATTCAGACCACTTTTGGAGTGAACACCCCCCCAATGGGATGGGCCCCCAAAAATGGGAGGGGTTGATTCCTGGGTCAACATTCACTTTGGGCCCACTCAGACCCCAGCCCAAGCCTCAGGTCAGCTCCGCCTGGCCCGAGACTTCCACCGCGGGGACCTGCTGGGCGCGGGGAGCTACGGCGCGGGCGCCGAATCGGTGGCGAAGGCAGAGGCACTAGCGTTGGGTTGCTGGAACCTGATGCCATTTGGCGGGTCAAAACCAATGGTACCATTTTGGATATGTACGTGCACCACCTGTTTTGGTCTATTTTAGTGGTGATTGGGATGTTCACTGGAGGTACAGGCTTCTGACTGATGGCCATTTGGGGCTGTTCTTCTTGAGGGGACCCCAGTTTTGGTGGTTTTATAAAAGCAAAAGTTTGGGGTCCCCTAAAAATGATACACCCAACTTTTAGGCTTGCTCGTTCTCAGCCAAGAAGCGTTTTCGGGGGATTGGGAATCAAGCCACGAAATCCACCAGTTGGATGTTCGGGATCCTTCCCGCAACTCGGTGCCTTTGAAACCGGGCCCGTGGTAGCATTCCCAGAGATGGGAATCCCTATTCGCAGAAGTGTTTGCCACATGGGGCCAAACCAGTGACAATGCCAAGATGGACTCGCCCCCAACCACTACAACTGGTTTACTCGCATATGCAGCCGCCTGTAGCCGGTGTTTTGGTGGACCCGCCTTTGGTTGGCATCAGCCCAAAAGGCCAGATGTGCCAGCCATGTCGTCAGAAGCGTTCGGCTGGATGCAGGCGAGGTGTAATCCCAATCAAGCTAGTGCGGATATCTGCCCTTGAGAGCCTTTACATGATGGGTTGGGTCCTGGAGTACCAGGTTGTGCCGACCAAGTTGCTTTGCCAGACTGGCATGAATCAACCTGGGGTTTATCCGATCAAATGATTGAACCAACCGCAAAGGTGATCAAGTTTGGACGTCGGTGCGGTGTGAGTGACAGGTGCAACTTGATAGATTGATGACTTGTGAAGATTTGCGGGGAAGCTCGTTCTGACAGCATCTCCAGCTACTGAGGTTGTGTCTTTGCAGCGCGGCGAAAGACAACTGGTGAGATTGTGGCTGTGAAGGAGCGAGCCGACGTTGCATGAACCAAGCCAGTGCGGAGACATGCAGCCACACACACACACACTGCCACCGCCACAACTACCACAACCACACCACACACCTCAACACACCGCACCACACACCTCAACACAGCAAAGAACGGCACGCCACACCACACAAACTAGTCAACCACAGAGACACACAGAGACACACAGAGACACACAGAGACACACAGAGACACACAGAGACACACAGAGACACACAGAGACACACAGAGACACACAGAGACACACAGAGACACACAGAGACACACAGAGACACACAGAGACACACAGAGACACACAGAGACACACAGAGACACACCGACGCCGACACGCACCCACACCCACACATACACACCTCCTGACAATGTCCAACACACCCGACCAAGGGGTTCATTGTTGCAGTTTGTTCGGGGACATGTCAGAACTGACTCAGGACTAGGGGCACTCCAAATGAAGCCCGAACCAAAAGAGTTCGTGGGTTTTGACACATAGTGCTTGAACACCATAGTAACCTCCTTTGAAGACCCTGTCGATTTGTGGCACCATTCAAGGGCACCAAAAAATGGTCAGCCTCACAGGTCTTGTTTTTAGGCCAGAGTGCTTGACAATGATGTGACTGGTTCAGGTCGCACCGCCATTCATGTTTCCTCCAATATTGATTCAAAGCCGTAACAAAGTGCGCCATGGGAAGCTTATGACCTTTATTAATGGTCCCAAAAGGACACTCTGGCAGCATCAGCCCTCCACAGCTACCTTGAACATGTGTACATGCAATGCAGCAAGCTGCCCATACAGCCAGCTTCCACGTAACTTATGTACCTTGCAGCAGCTCCTCGTTTCCCAGTGTGCCAGCATTGGTTTTGGCGCATTCTTGGGCGATGAAGCCCATTTGTTTGGCACATGTTGCTTTAGCTAAAGTACGGCGGTATTTTGGTATCTGGTTTTAATGCATCACAGGTTTGCTGGTACATTCCGTTGTTACTCTGTTCCTGCACATATATATATATATACTTGGCACATTCCTGGAACGTGCACAAAGAAACTTGCCGGCTGGTTGGTGTTTCTCAACAGAGGGGTCCCATAGTATAGCTGTTTTCTGTTGGGTTTCTTCAATGCCAACCAAGACACGGGCAAATCGTTGATGTGACCAAATCGCCCCTTAGACCTTTTGGAAACAAATCATTTTTTGCATGTTGTTCAAGCCTAAGGTGATCGACCTGTCGCTCCGGGGGCGGATGGAGCAACCCGGGTCTTTGTTTTGAGATATTTGTTTCTGTCAAGATAGTTTGCGCCGGGCTTGGAGCATCCCCAAGTGGTAAAGCTCCCGGAAAGCTTGCGCGTCAGGAGATGCTCTTGGACCGAAATGGCAAGAGCAAGGAAGAGCGAAGCGAGCGGCTCTGGGCTTGGGACGGAATCAAAAATTGATCAACTGGCTCCTTCACACTTGGTGTGTCTTTTGTTCCGCAACAGCTGAATGCGATGGGGTCTCAGCCCAGATAGGTCCGGGGCGGCTCAGCTTCCATGGTATGGTGGCCCCTAGCCCTTACCCAGGCACTTGCTGGCTTAAACATCTGAAGCCTCAGCACGTCCACGCAATCCTCGTCTCGTGGGACCTGGAGCTAAGGCTGGTGCGACTGACCAGAGAACTGAGACTCTGCGAGCAGTCAGCCTGGCCAGTTTTGAATTGACCTCGGAGCCAACGTGGTGGAGTCAGGCCCCGGATTAAGAACCCGACTTATTCTTAGGGAGTGTTCGCTCCAAAAGTGATGAGCCCCCGAAACGAGGACACCCGCCAAAAATCAGCCGGGGGTTTATTCGTCTGGGGTCAACATGAGTAGGGCTCTCACAATGTGTGACGGATCCTCATCCCCTATGAAGTCATCAATAGGTTTATTATTCTGGGTCAGGAGCTTGCGCCTGTCTCTTGAACTTGCGCCGGAAAGAACTGCGCCCTTTCTCTGGGTTCCATGGTGGATAGACAGCTGCACGGAAAAATATCCCCGGAGAGCCTTCGGCCAGGCTGGAGCATCCGTTCATCGTGAGCTACTACGGCCACGAATTTGTCATGGGCGCCCAGGGCGGTGCCTGGCTTGGAAAAAGACATATGTTGTCCTAGGCGGGTTTTGGCGAACATATGGGGCTAAACAGTTAATTACACATGATGTTTTCGTGTGACTTGCATTTGCTTGCAAACATTTGTTTTCCCGTGTTGGGTTTAAAGGGCAATCTAAACCACTACCGGCTTCAGGGGACTTAAGCAAATGGAAGATGATCATGGCTTATCTTGGCTTCACCATAACCCTCCAACCTCATTCGAATCATGTAGTCCCTCATATGACCTGTTCCATGGTCAAAAGACCGGGTCCTTCACGTGGCGTTGGCAGGGCTAGTGATCAACCCCTTGAAGGATGAAGCAACGCAAGGGTTCCCATTGAGAAAGCCGAAGCGCGGCCCATAAATGGGTGTGTTGACCACACCTGGCGCGTCTCTATGACCCTTAACAGATGGGATGTATAATATACTACCCAGACGCTCCTGGGGCTTCCAATGGAAGACCCAAACACTGCGGTGGACACTTTAGAGGGGTTTTGGGGTCTCAAAACCTGGCTGTTTGAGGGCCCAAAAACCATCGGGAGCGTTTGGGTACAACAGTAACGGCCATAACCCCTGTTTTTGAGGGTCCAGCCTCAAGATATACTGTCAGGTATATGTCATTCAATTTGGCAAAGGTGATGTTGCTTCTCTTGGTTTTACTGGAAACAATTCTGACTGGTAAAAGGTTTAGTTTCGAAGGCATGCTGAGACAATGGACCCGGCAACTAGGGGTAGTCGAGTCCCCAATTATTGTGTCATTTTCCATTTTGCAGAGAAGACTGAAAGTGAAGTAGATCTGTTCGCATTTGTTTGGACTCCTCAAACAAGCGGTTCCTTTTGGCGTCCCTTAAAAAGAAGAGAAAGGCCACCAAATCCAAGCGAAGAATCGCACAATGTGCTGTTCCTTTGGTTGCCTTCAATCCTCCAAAGGGTGTTTCTTGTTGGTGTCCCTTGAAAACAAGCAATCACTCAACACTATACTGTACTATACTCTAGACCCGAAATCCTAAAAAGGTCGCGAATCCTGAGCACATCTCTTGGAGCCAGTGCTTCAATAGGGGGTTGCAGAAGTTAGTTCGCTGTACCTTCGCCATTCTCTTCAAGGATGCGACGTGACAAATACAGGTGGTTTCTAAAGAGACGACTGGGTGAAGATGCTTGGAAGCCAGCAGACTTGTCAAGATCCCCCAGGAGTGCTCTTTTAGCCTTTTTGGGGGGCAGGGTTCCCCTACTAAAACAGACTACATTTCAAAGGGTACCTTTTTCTAACCTCTCTACTGGAGGACCTAGTTGTAGACACCCAGGACCTGAGAAGCTGCATCTCTTCTTGGAGTACTGTAGCGGCGGCAGCCTCGCAGCGCACCTTGGCCCGAAGGATCGCAAAACCGAGGCGGAAGTTCACACGTTCCCCCCTGAGTGGTTTGGATCGGTTTGGGGGAATTGCAGCCCTGGTTCTGGGCAACAAATGGGGAACCATTCTATGATGTCAAAACCAGGACAGACCAATTGCTGGTAAGGTGCGAAGTTGTGATTTTTTGCTGCGCAGGAAACCTGACGCAAGCAGACAAACAGCTCAAAGGATCCGAATCTAGTCTCCCAGAACTCCATTTGGCGAAAACCTTGATTCTCTTTAAACAAATCGTGTTCAATCCATTGCTTAAAGGGCTTGTCCCAATCCATTTGACCTCTATGCTGTCCAGGCAGAACTGCATCTCAGTTCTCTTTTCTTGTGATGGTTTGGCCAACATCCGCAAGAACCTGCCAGATCCCAGGTCTCACACCATGCGATATTTATCCAACAAACCCTTGGGATGGTGGTGTCCCTTGTAGTGTCCCACTTGCGTTGCGGAACATCAGGATCCCAGGCTTGAAGACCTCACAGCGCCTCTTCTGACACAGAGCCCGATGTTTTCCCATTCCACGGTTTCAAGCATCACCTTGGGCCTTTTGTGCGGGGAATCAAAGAGAGCCCCGAGTTTCATTTCTGGTGATTCAAGCATCCCAGGTTGACATCGAAGAGTTTCCGGATGGGATGTTTGCTTCGGGTGCCGCCCGCCTTTTTTCTCCAGGCAGCTGCGCACCTATGGGCCAGTGAGCGAAGAGCTTTTGAGGACTGGGACTCGTTTCTTGGGGGTCGGTGTGTGTCAAATGGCACCGAGCCGAGGGTAGCCCATCAATTCAATGGGCTAAAACCCTTGAAGGGGGTCCATGGGCAGCTTCTTTTAGGGCCCCCAAATGGTGGTTTTGCTTACACTCACCAACAAAAAGGGTACCCTCAAAAAAGATACAATCACGTGTGAACGAATGGGCATATATACATATATTATGTTGGCTAAATATGTTCCGAGCCACTTCCGTTCCGTTGACAACCTTGCGACTGGGTAAGAACTAGAACTGGGTAGCTTTTATATTGCTGCTCAACGGGAACGCGGGTTTAGAAGCACCACATGTTCATGCAAGGGCAACAAAGCAACACAGGATTCTTAAAGGTGACACCTGCATACACCACTTTGCATCCAACATGATGAGCAGGCTTGAGTTGTGCTTCAAAGCAATGGTGGAACAAGCTAAGTATGACATGGGAGGGCCTTAGAGCAGTGACCACACCTCCAGTATGTTTGCAAGACTCAGCATTTGGCAGGCAGCCGAGGCTGGGCAAAGGATGATAGACATCGTTTGTTGGCATGTTCATGGTTGTTGTTGAAACATTTTGCATTTTTGCTTATTGTGGTTGAGTGGGAAATCCCCACTTAGCTGAAATTTAAATTTCTGCTCCCCTTCCAACGTCAACCAAGTGTTTCTCCACGCAGCTTCTTATTGAACGGTGACTCAGCACCCGCGTTCCGTGACCCGATGCCCTTTGTTGCCAGGAAGTACACGCAGCAGCTCGTGAGCGGGCTGGTGTACCTTCACTCGCGCAATCCCCCGGTAGTTCATCGTGACCTGAAATGTGCCAAGCTCGGACTCGTTGTAGTCTTCACTGTTGTTGGCATATTCTCAGGTCTTTTGTTTTTTGGGGTCTGTTCATTTTTTGTAGGGGGCTGAAAAGAACACGTTTTGCTGCTACCATACCAAGGGCTGGAAAGTAGTGCAGCCCATGTCTGGTCCAGAGACCAAGTTTACATTATCTCTTCTTGCCAGGTGTCTTTATCAGGCGAGTCTAAGGGCCAACAAGCTTGAACTTTGTCTAGCCAGTCAACTCAGCAGGTGATGGTCATCAACCCCTGCAATATTGGAAAGGTTCTGGAGCCAAAACATAAGACCCTGAGCACTTTTTCACGAGTCAGACTAGGTCTACCTCATTTGAAATATATCTTGCAAAGACCGTTCTAAATGCCATACTCTTTGATTCACCGCATTTCCTGGCTGACCAACATCACGATTTCAGTGTTTTTTTTGTTTAAGGGTTTCTTCTGAAGAGGGCTCCTTTGAAGTTCTTTTGTATTGTATAATGGGTTCCTCTGAAGCAATGCATACACACACACACACTCATGGCCATGCATGGTCACTCGCCCAGGCGCTAACGTGCTTTTGACACACAGTGGAGATGTCGGGGCCTCACAAGTTGAGCCGAGAAGTGGCCGTGTGTGTTTTTGGGAGATATGCGACTATCCCCTATCAAGTGGTTTTATTTACAAACAAGGGGATATCATTGCCAATGTTTAGCACCCAAGTGGCGAAGATGGACTTGTGGTCTATCATTTCGGCACAGCGGCAACAGTTGGGTGAAAGTGGATGGAACAATTCGTCTATTTGGGTGTGTCTCAAAATAATTGCCCAGAACAAGTGATGTCCTTTTGGTGTCCCTTTAACTACCAACCCAAAATGGTTCCCTGATTTTGAGCCAGACCCATTTTCGTGTTTTAGTGTCACACCCCGCACTGACACAAAGGGACTGGCGCCACATACTCGGCCGCCTGCAAGACTCGGAATTTCCAAAAATGGCGGACCGCTTGAACATGGTTGGATACTGGAGCGTACCTTTCCAAACCAAAGGGAGTTGTCATTTCTTGAACAGCCCCAACTTTAAGAAGCGAAATGCCAAGCAAAAGTGAGTCGACAATTGTGTTGAGACAAGACCTCTCATTCGACGTTCAATACTCGCCATCGGGGGTACTGAGAATGACATTCGGCCCACGCAACACATTGCTGGGGTCTCTTTCAAAACTATCTCAAATAGTTTAAGGGGAGACAAAATATGAAGCAGAATCAGAAAGGTGATCTAAGTTGTCACAGCTGGACATGTGAAAGCACAACAAATGGTATCATCGAAAAGGGCCCATGTTTCACAATGCCTGGAGCTCAGGATCCCTTTCCCTGAGTGCCTTTTGTGCCTTCATTTGGTTCCCTACCAATGCTCAATTTGCTGAACTGTCTCCTTTTTCTTGAGGGAACCCATTTTTGTAGTGGTTTTCAAAGGGAGACCAAAAAGGAAACCACTTTTTCTTGGGGGGGGGGGGGGGGTGGCCTAAAAAGGAAAAAGCGACACGCCCAGTTGGTCAGGTGAAGATCGCAGATTTCGGCTGCTCCAAGTGGGTACAGCCAGGGGAGGCCGTTCTGGAGGCGGGTGCCGGGCCTTTCGGGGGGAGCCGCACGTTGAAGCCACAGATTTTGGCCGCGTCCTATACAAAACTGGTGGTTGATTTATTGAGAAAAAGAAAAACAACAAAAGAAAACAACCAACATGGCTACTTGTAGAAACCCTGTCCTATTTTGAAGACATGTTCTAGCATGTTGAGTTCTCAAAGATATTTTAACGCCTCCGGCTCAGGCCGCCGACATTACAGGCCTGCTTTCTTATTTGCGTCCCTTTGGAATTGTCCCCTTGCCCCCTTCCCCTCTGAGATTTTTGCCCCCCTTTCTTTGTTGAGATCCATTCCCCCTTTCCGCCCTAAGGCCTTTTCTCCCTCTGTGTTTTTCCCTTTTCCTCCCTAAGATGTTTTCACCCCTCTCCCTGTTGAGATCCTTTCCCCCCTTTCCCCCCTAAGGCCTTTTCCCCCCTGAGATCTTCTCCCTTTTCCTCCCTTTCCCCCACTTTCCCCCCTACGGCCTTTTCCTCCCTGGGATCTTTTTCCTTTCCTCCCTGAGATCTTTCCCCCCCTTTCCCTGTTGAGATCCTTTCCCCCCTTTCCCCCCTACGGCCTTTCCCCCCGCTGAGATCTTCTCCCTATTCCTCCTTAAGATCCTTTGCCCCCTTTCCCTGTTGAGATCCTTTCCCCCCTTCCCTTTAAGGCCTTTCCAGATCTTCTCCCTTTTCCTTCCTAAGATTGTTTCCCCCCTTTCCCTGTTGAGATCCTTCCCACCCTTTCCCCCCTCAGGCCTTTCCCCCCCCTGAGAGCTTCTCCTTCCTTAGATCTTTCCCCCCTGTCCCTGTTGGCCTTTTTTCCCCCAGATCTTCTCCCTTTCCTCCCTAAGATCTTTTCCACCCCTTTCCCTGTTGAGATCATTTCTCCCCTTTCCCCCCTAAGGCCTTTGCCCCCAGATCTTCTCCCTTTCCTCCCTAAGATCTTTCCCCCCCTTTCCCTGCTCAGATCCTTTCCCCCCTTTCCCCCCTAAGGCCTTTCCCCCCCTGAGATCTTCTCCCTTTTCCTCCCGAAGATCTTTTGCCATTTTTCCCTGTTGAGGTCCATTCCCCCTTTCCCCCCTAAGGCCCTTTCTCCCTCTGAGTTTTTCCCTTTTCCTCCCTACGATGTTTTCCACCCTCTCCCTGTTGAGATCCTTTCCCTCCTTTTTCCGTGGTCCTTTTTTCCCCCCGCGATCTTCCCCCTTTTCCTTCCTAGGATCTTTTCCCCCCTTTCCTTGTTGAGATCCTTTCCCGCCCTTTCCCCCCTAAGGCGTTTTCCCTTCCAAGATCTTCTCCCTTTTCCTCCCTAAGATCCTTTGCCCCCTTTCCCTGTTGAGATCCTTTCCCCCCTTTCCCCCCTAAGGCCTTTCCCCCCCTGAGATCTTCTCCCTTGTCCTCCCCAAGATCTTTTCCCTTGGTTGAGATCCTTTCCCCCTTTCCCCCCGAGATCTTCTCCCTTTTCCTCCCTAGGATCTTCTCCCCCTTTCCCTGTTGAGCTCCTTTCCCCCTTTTCCCCCTAAGGCCTTTTCAGATCTTCTCCCTTTTCCTCCCTAAGATCCTTTGCCCCCTTTCCCTGTTGAGATCATTTCTCCCCTTTCCCCCCTACGGCCTTTGCCCCCAGATCTTCTCCTCCCTAAGATCTTTCCCCCCCTTTCCCTGCTCAGATCCTTTCCCCCCTTTCCCCCCTAAGGCCTTTCCCCCCCTGAGATCTTCTCCCTTTTCCTCCCTAAGATCTTTTGCCACCTTTCCCTGTTGAGATCCATTCCCCCTTTCCCCCCTAAGGCCTTTCTCCCTCTGAGTTTTCCCCTTTTCCTCCCTACGATGTTTTCCCCCCTCTCCCTGTTGAGATCCTTTCCCTCCTTTCCCCCCTAAGGCCCTTGTTCCCCCCGCGATCTTCCCCCTTTTCCTTCCTAAGATCTTTTCCCCCTTTCCTTGTTGAGATCCTTTCCCGCCCTTTCCCCCCTAAGGCGTTTTCCCCCCCAAGATCTTCTCCCTTTTCCTCCCTAAGATCTTTTGCCACCTTTCCCTGTTGAGATCCATTCCCCCTTTCCCCCCTAAGGCCTTTCTCCCTCTGAGTTTTCCCCGTTTCCTCCCTACGATGTTTTCCCCCCTCTCCCTGTTGAGATCCTTTCCCTCCTTTCCCCCCTAAGGCCCTTTTTCCCCCCGCGATCTTCCTCCTTTTCCTTCCTAAGATCTTTTCCCCCTTTCCTTGTTGAGATCCTTTCCCGCCCTTTCCCCCCTAAGGCGTTTTCTCCCCCAAGATCTTCTCCCTTTTCCTTTCTAAGATCCTTTGCCCCCTTTCCCTGTTGAGGTCCTTTCCCCTCTTTCCCCCCTAAGGCCTTTCCACCCCTGAGATCTTCTCCCTTGTCCTCCCCAAGATCTTTTCTCTTGGTTGAGATCCTTTCCCCCTTTCCCCCAAGATCTTCTCCCTTTTCCTCTTTAGGATCCTCTCCCACCTTTCCCTGTTGAGCTCCTTTCCCCCTTTTCCCCCTAAGGCCTTTTCAGATCTTCTCCCTTTTCCTCCCGAAGATCCTTTGCCCCCTTTCTCTGTTGAGATCCTTTCCCCCTTTCTCCCCTAAGGCCTTTTCCCCGCCTGGGATCTTCTCCCTTTCCTTATTGAGATCTTTCCCCCCCTTTCCCTGTTGAGATCCTTTCCCTCCTTTCCTTCCGAAGGCCTTTCCCCCCGCTGAGATCTTCTCCCTACTCCTCCTTAAGATCCTTTGCCTCCTTTCCCCGTTGAGATCCTTTCCCTTCTTCCCTTTAAGGCCTTTCCAGATCTTTTCCCTTTTCCTTCCTAAGATTGTTTCCCCCCTTTCCCTGTTGAGATCCTTCCCACCCTTTCCCGCCTAAGGCCTTTCCCCCCTGAGAGCTTCTCCCTTTTCCTTCCTTAGATCTTTCCCCCCTTTCCCTGTTGGCCTTTTTTTTACCAGATCTTCTCCCTTTCCTCCCTAAGATCTTTTCCACCCCTTCCCTGTTGAGATCATTTCTCCCCTTTCCCCTCTAAGGCCTTTGTCCCCAGATCTTCTCCCTTTCCTCCCTAAGATCTTCCCCCCCCCCCTTTCCCTGCTGAGATGCCTTTCCCCCTTCCCCCCCTAAGGCCTTCCCCCCCCCCCCTGAGAGCTTCTCCCTTTTCCTTCCGAAGATCTTGTCCCCCCTTTTCCCTGTTAGGCTTTCCCCCCTAAGTCCTTTTCTCCCAGATCGTCTCCCTTTCCTCCCTAAGATCTTCCCCCCCCTTTCCTCCTTAAGATCTTTCCCACCCTTTCCCTGTTGAGATCCTTTCCCCCCTTTCCCTCCCAAGGCCTTTCCCCCCCCCTGAGAGCTTCTCCCTGTTCCTTCCTAAGATCTTTTCCCCCCTTTCCCTGTTGGGCTTCCCCCCCTAAGTCCTTTTCTCCCAGATCTTCTCCCTTTCCTCCCTAAGATCTTCCCCCCCCCCTTTCCTTCCTAAGATTGTTTCCCCCCTTTCCCTGTTGAGATCCTTCCCACCCTTTCCCCCTGAGGCCTTTCCCCCCCTGAGAGCTTCTCCTTCCTTAGATCTTTCCCCCCTGTCCCTGTTGGCCTTTTTTCCCCCAGATCTTCTCCCTTTCCTCCCTAAGATCTTTTCCACCCCTTTCCCTGTTGAGATCATTTCTCCCCTTTCCCCCCTAAGGCCTTTGCCCCCAGATCTTCTCCCTTTCCTCCCTAAGATCTTTCCCCCCCTTTCCCTGCTCAGATCCTTTCCCCCCTTTCCCCCCTAAGGCCTTTCCCCCCCTGAGATCTTCTCCCTTTTCCTCCCGAAGATCTTTTGCCATTTTTCCCTGTTGAGGTCCATTCCCCCTTTCCCCCCTAAGGCCCTTTCTCCCTCTGAGTTGTTCCCTTTTCCTCCCTACGATGTTTTCCCCCCTCTCCCTGTTGAGATCCTTCCCTCCTTCCTAAGATCTTTTCCCCCCTTTCCTTGTTGAGATCCTTTCCCGCCCTTTCCCCCCTAAGGCGTTTTTCCCCCCAAGATCTTCTCCCTTTTCCTCCCCAAGATCCTTTGCCCCCTTTCCCTGTTGAGATCCTTTCCCCTCTTTCCCCCCTACGGCCTTTCCCCCCGCTGAGATCTTCTTCCTATTCCTCCTTAAGATCCTTTGCCCCCTTTCCCTGTTGAGATCCTTTCCCCCCTTCCCTTTAAGGTCTTTCCAGATCTTCTCCCTTTCCTTCCTAAGATTGTTTCCCCCCTTTCCCTGTTGAGATCCTTCCCACCCTTTCCCCCCTCAGGCCTTTCCCCCCCCTGAGAGCTTCTCCCTTTTCCTTCCTTAGATCTTTCCCCCCTTTCCCTGTTGGCCTTTTTTCTCCCAGATCTTCTCCCTTTCCGCCCTAAGATCTTTTCCACCCCTTTCCCTGTTGAGATCATTTCTCCCCTTTCCCCCCTAAGGCCTTTGTCCCCAGATCTTCTCCCTTTCCTCCCTAAGATCTTCCCCCCCCCCTTTCCCTGCTGAGATCCTTTTCCCCCTTTCCCCCCTAAGGCCTTTCCCCCCCCTGAGAGCTTCTCCCTTTTCCTTCCTAAATCTTTTCCCCCCTTTCCCTGTTGGGCTTTCCCCCCTAAGTCCTTTTCTCCCAGATCTTCTCCCTTTCCTCCCTAAGATCTTCCCCCCCCCTTTCCCCCCCCAGATAAGATCTTTTCCACCCTTTCCCTGTTGAGATCATTTCTCCCCTTTCCCCCCTAAGGCCTTTTTGCCCCAGATCTTCTGCCTTTCCTCCCTAAGATCTTTCCCCCCCCCCAGTTCCTTGTTGAGATCATTTATTTCCCCCCTTTTCCTTCTAAGGCCTTTTCCCACCCTCAGTTCTTCTCCCTTTTCCTCCCAAAGATCTTTCCCCCCCTTTCCTCCCTAAGTCCTTTTCCCTGAGTTCGTCTCCCTTTGCCTCCCTAAGATCTTTTCCCCCCTTTCCCGCTTAAGATCCTTTCCCCCGTTTCCCCCCTAAGGCCTTTTCCCCCCAAGATCTCCACCCTTCTCTTCCCAAAGTCTTTTTTTCCCCCTTTCCCGATTGAGATCCTGTCCCCCGATTGCCCCTTAGGGCCTGTTTCCTCCGAGAAAGATTTTCCTTTTCCTCCCAAAGATCTTTTCCCCCCTTTCCCCCTTAAGGCATTTTTTCCCCAGATCTTCTCCCTTTCCTCCCTGAGATCTTTCCCCCCCTTTCGCTGTTGAGATCCTTTCCCCCTTTCCCCCCTTCATTTCCTTCACCAGCATGGGCAACATCCCCAGCATCACTTGCATCATCCGCATCCTTGGCAGGCGCTGATGCTGCTAAGGATGCGAAAGACCACCGGGGGTCGAACACCCCAATGTTTTTGACAAACTGAGTTGCGCAAGCCCGCACAATGAACAGATTTAGTGAAGCGTCTTCGACTCACCGGACCCCCCCCCCCCCCCGCAATAGTCTGAAATGAATGGTGCCCCTGGGAGGGGTTAGGGGAGGGGTAACAGGTAAAGAGGTAAGGAGCATTTTTTGTGTCCAACACGCCGTCTGTTGTCGGCGGATTTAAGGGGTGGGACACCCCTGACAAATCCAAGCATTTGGAGAGCAATTTTGAGGATGTCAATTTAATGGACCCAGACCCCTTAGCACGTAACGTGCTCCCAAACAAATTGTCAAGGAACACCAAAGACAGGTCAAAAAAAACAATGTGTTTTTTTCTTTTGTAGGTAGTCTGGAATAATCTGCAGCAGCCGTGGACAAGCGGTGTCCCTTCCAACAAACATGAAAGCGGACTAGCTTCCAGTTAAACAAGAAGGGTAGTCTTCCAAAAGTTCTGTCTCCTTTTCCACGATTGGAAAAAGGTTTGGCCGATTCGGAGCCATAGCCCTCCCAGGATGCATGACACTCGTAGGGTTCCTTTGGCGAACCACTTGAGCAGAATGCGCGAGCCACGCACTCTGTCAGAACTCCGTGGCCGGCTCGATCTTTTGGATGGCCGCAAGCTGAGAATGGAGCAGGTAGCACCCTGCAGTCCAAGCCTTTCTGCTGTGTCGTAGAAGTGGTCATTTCCCACAGCCCCGGGGAAGACCATTTTGGTGGCAAACCAGTTTGGACTTTGTTTGGCCCATCCACTCAGAAGTGAGCACTCACAATTGGTATCCTCCAAAAGGCACATCGGCTTGGCGGATCTCGGGTTATAGCGTATACCAGGTAACCTCAAAAGTGGTTGGGTACCGGAGGACTTGAATTCATGCCCATGTGCCGCCCAAATCCCCAGGAAACAGCATCCCCAGTTCGCGCAAAGCGGTTTGCCCGAGCCCAGGCGCCAGAGCTTTTTCGAGGCCGTGGAAAGCTGACCACGTCCTCAGATGCCCGGGGCTCGATGCGGCGAGCGACAAAAGGCTCCATGTGCAGTCTGTCTGTTTTTTTTGGAGGGTACGGGTAGTTTTAAAGGGAAGCTAAATGGAAAAAGCTCGTTTTGGGGGTTCCCGTATTTTAAGACGATGACGAGCCCATGCAGGTTTGATATTTGAAACTACATCTGCAACCACAGTACTAGCGACGCTGAATTTCTCAACGTGGGCAACTATCACCTACATGGAGCGTCAGGTACTGTCACTCAGACCCGTTTGACCTTTTCTGACGATTTGGTTCCGGTTGCTGTAGCATCCGAAAGGAACCCAGTTGTCAGTGCCATTTAAGATCACCCAAGCCACGCCTTGTGGAAAGTAGGGATTTAGGGCCACTTACTGTCATTTGACGGGAACGTCCTTAAAAGTTTTCGTGTTCATGGTTGTGGAAAACAGGAAATTAGGGCCACTCCTGTGTGATTTGACGGGAATCTCGTTAAACATGAGAAGGTAGTGTCGGGGGATGGGAGTCTCATGTTAGCATCACAGAGGGTTTTTTTCCACAAGAGCTTGGACCAGGGGAGTTACAATTTTGTCAATTCGAGTCTTTTGTCTTGCTTTCTTGCGGTACCTTAGAACCCTCTTGCGGTAGAAACCCCATTGTTCCACAAAAGTAAGAAGAAGAAAGCGACCCCATGTTCCCATGTCTTTTGTTCCCCCCCCTTTTCCCCCTCCCCCCCTGTCTCCGTGCCTCCGGCGCCACCCGTCTCCGTGCCGCTGAGATCTGGTCCTTGGGCTGCTGTGTCTTGGAGATGGCCACGGGCCACGCTCCCTGGGCCGAGCGCAGGTTCGACAACATCCTCCAGGCGAGTCAACCCGACCGAGCCAACCCGACTGAGTCAACCCACCGAGTCGGAAAGGTGGCCGAAAAGGCCACCGGAACATCAAACCGGGGAACCCAAAAGGAGAACAAAAAAAAACGAGGTAATTAAGTGTGTTGTGTCTGTTGTGTGCCTTTTTGTTTTGTATTTAAAACGCGCAGACACACACAGTAGTTTGCACGAGTTTGTGTATTCAACAAGCATAAGCAAAAGCTGTCAATATGAAACAGAGTCTGATAATCACATGATGTTCGGTGCCTTTTTGGTCGCCCAAGTCTTGGTTGATTTTGGTTGTGACTCGGAAGAGACGCAACTTTTGACCACGCGAGAGGCCTGCCACGTGATCGCAAACAGCGAGGAGCTGCCGGCGATTCCTGCGGAGCTGTCGCAGCAGGCTGGGTTCCAGAGCAGTGCACAGCCCCACAAGCAAAAGAAGCGGTTTGAATGGAAGCCAAGCTAGGTCCCCCAGTAGTGCCCTTTTACATCCTTTTACCCTTTTTTGGGGGAGGGTTCCCCTCCTAAAACAGACTACAGCAAAAGGGTACCCTTATTCTAACCTCCCTACTGGAGGACCTAGCAAGGAACCAATTGATGTTAGGCCCCACCCAATTGTTTGCTTGAGCATAGTGAGAAACCAAGCACAAGGCATGGCAGTGTATGGGAGACTCCTCTACCTGCAGCTTTTCGGGGCAACGAAAGGGTGCCTGGAAGCAGTGACGTTCCGCAGAAAGAGCAATTCTCCTGCAGGGGGCTACAGAAGGGCGGGTCTTCAAAAAGGGAACCCTACATATGCTTGGTGTCCATGTGGCTTCCGTTTGCTAAAACCACTCCAAATGAGTACATCCTCAAAAAAAAAGCGACACCCACAAAACGCGATAAGACATCTTTCGGTTGGCAAAGAAGCTTTGTGGCAGGGATTCGGCCATCCAAACAGATCCGTGCAGGCCACCAACCTCATCCGCAACTGTTTGAAGCGGAACGCGCCAGAACGGCCAAAGCCTTTGGGGGGTTGAAAGAGGGGGAGGGAGAAAGAGAGAAAAAGAAAGCGAGAGAGAGAGAGAGAGAGAAAGAGAGAGAGAGAGAGAGAGAGAGAGAGAGGGAGGGAGGGAGGGAGGGGGATGGGGATGGGGATGGGGATGGGCGATGGGATGTGTGGTTGCAATTTACCATGCTTCCATATATCTCGTAAGGACACACGGGAACCCCAAGGGCCCCCCCCGAGGACCGACATTGAGCTTGCTTTGTTTGTGTTCCTCCCGGATTGGTCGTTGACATTTGCAACCGCAATGGAACAAGTGGGTTCCCACCCGTTCTTTTTCCCCAACAGCTGAAAGCTTTGGAGTCTCAGCCCCTAGGCTCCGGGGTGGTCCGGGGCGGTGAGGTAAGGTTCCAGGTTTCCACCAGGGTTCCAGCAGGGTTCCGCCAGGGTTCCACCGTGGTGCGAGCACTAAAAAGAGCACCGCATGCTGTTGGGGATATCACCTGAGCTTATTGTTCATTGAGGTTCTTCGGGGTCGCCCTCACCGTGTTTCCCATGGCCGGTGGACGAGAATGCAACGCTACGTCCCCGAGTTTCTGGACTTTATACTTTTGAGCGGGACCGCCATGTTTGTTTTACTCAGAAAGTTAGGACTTCTTTTGGCCAATCCAAATGGAACTGAGAATGCCAAGATGATGGTTTACTACTGCACCTTCGTTGTTTGTCCTTCCGGTCCGAAACAGGCAAATCGATGCGCCCGATGTTTTTTTTGTCCCCCGACTGACTGGCATCACGACATCTCCGTGCAGGCCCGTCTTGTTTTGGCTGCCAAGCATCTAAACTGCCAGAGGTAAGGCGCTCGGCCTTTTCCCCCTCTTCATAAATAGGGTACCATTTTGGGGTAGGTGCACCACTTATTTTAGTTTATTTTAGTGGGGATTGGGATGTTCGCTGGGGGTACGGGCTTTTGACCCATGGCCAAATATGTGCAGAGCCCCCGTTTCGTTCATTGATGCCGCCCGCAAAAACGCTCGCCAATGGTTGCAACCTCAGCTGAGGCCAACAGCAGCCGAGCTGAACAAGAGCAAAATGCTGAGCACTTGAGTCAAGACGACCCATTGGTGAATCAAAGCAGGAGTTGTCCAGTGCTTGTTCCTTTTTGTTTCTGGAGGCTTGTCTTTTCTTGGATACTGATTATCCCTCCCTTTTTCAAAGTGGAACCAGAATGCCGATTCTCAGATCTGCAATTGTCCCATGGGTGTGGTTTTTCGTATGAGAGTTCACTTGCAAAGGATCGGCATCCGCCCCTTTTGAAGAGATCTGCACGGAAGGGATCTACTCTCGCAACCCACGGGTTGGGGGTGATCCAGGTGCATCCCTACCATGTTTCTGGCCAACCCATGAAGATATGCAGTTTGAGCCTTGAACAGCCCAAGTTCGCCTCAAGCACACTGACGACTCACTTTTAACACATTCAATCACCTCTTTTGTGGATAAGCGAGTGTTTTCTCAACATGCAACTTCCAAGTAAACTTGGACCCTTTTGCTCAATCAATCAGTGGGCTATACCACCTCTCTCTCTCTCTTGACTCATGTCTCGCTTCCAGCTGAGAGATCGCTTTGCGCGTTTGCGCTCAGCATGTTTCCGTGCACGGAGATGTCCAGAACACCCCTCGTCCAGCGATCAGGGATGCCACGGTCCGACACCACGTTTCATAGAGACAGAGGGAGACAGCCCTACGCTGATCATGCTTCCGGCCATGCAGATGTTCAGCATGTCCAATGGGCCGGGTAGACTCGGAAATTCTCAAGCTGGGCTGCACAGTGCTGTGGTTTCGGGGCCATGAGCAAAGCTTGGCTCCCGTGGCATGCATCGATCGATTCGTTTCACATCTCAAGCCGAGTGCGGCAGCATGATTCCGGAGGGCGCGAGTCTCGCCTTTTCGGCAGTGTAAAGTGTCACGGTTCTGCGAAGCAGTCTGCAGAACTCCCAACTCTTCGGATGAGGATCTGTCCAGCGGCGCACCACGAGCCTGTTGCCTTTCGAAGGCCTGCGAAAGGCCGCCGCTACCGGGCATCCTTCTTCGCGCGGTGGAGATATATCAAGTCCAGAGACACTCGTTTGAGCCAGACACCAATTTGAGACTCGTGGTTCTATCTTCTTATGTCAAAGGCTTCGTCAACCAGTAAGTTGTTTGAGGCAAAACAACCTGAATGAACAGGGATAGGCACCAGACATGACCAGATGGCGTAGTTTAGGATTCCGGAGCCCGATGCAGCTTGAAACGGCGCGAGCACAGCGTAAGAAAAGAAGTTTTGACAACGCGCCACGATGTGAACAGGCTGTCAAAGGAGCGATGGTCGATCTTGGCGGGGGTCAGAATAGAGGAAGCGGGGCTTGAACAAACAGCGGGGTGCGGGGGGCCTAAAAACTGCGTGGGGTCAGAAAAAGGGTGCCCCCTATCCTTGTGATTGTCACACATGTTGTCACGGGGTCTTCATCACATGCACCAAATGGATGAGCGGCGCAAGAAGCCTTGTGAACAACGCCGCTTGGTACCTTGGTGATCTTCCCATTTGTCTCGCATGTTTGGGCCGGGGGTTCTACACAACCGCACGCCTTCCTTTTGCTCATTTACGCAACAAATGTAGGAGTCTGCACATCCGACCCTTACAATGCGTAGGGTCGAATGCTCACGAGCCTTAGCTCAACTATTGGATCTCATGGAGGTGGACCTTTGCCTTCTGCATCCCAACGGGTCTGTGTTTTTGTGTTTTTTTTTTTTCTGTGCGGACGGTTTTGCATGGCATGGACCAAAATCTACAGAACCCTGTCGCTCTATGAGCTCAAGGTGTCGACTTGAAGACTCAGCATCGTCTGGCGGAATTTGAGGTTCCTTTTGTACAAAGAAGCTAAGCCAAAAAACGATACTCCTACAAGGAAGATAAGCAAGTACTAGTATAATACTCCTTCAATGAGGAAATGGGATGTCCGAGGCCCCGCCTTCCCTTGCGGAACCAAGCTTGGGCAAACTTGGCGAACGCCAGCCGGGCCTAGCCCTAAGGCTTCAAGGGGAAGAGTGTTTGAACGCTGGGTGTTGGGACAACCTCATGGGCGTTGAGCGTCAATGCGTTTCTGGGGGGCATGTTCCAGGGGAATAAAACCGACCATAAGTTCAAATCCCAGCAGGGTAATCACGTGGGTTTATGTGAAGCTCACGGAGTCTTCTTTGTTCTCATTGCCATTTTCAAACCGTTGGCTCGGCAAATCGACGAGACGCTTGTGCAGCCTGACTTGGGCCCAAGGCTTGCAACTGTGCGGATGGATATTTTCTCATGGTGCTCAGGAATTCAGTCAGAGATAGCACGGCAAGGTGCGAGACAGCAGCGAGCTGCAGAAACCAACTCATTCTTGACATCCCAAAGCTTAAGCCATGTCTCCGGCACCGGACGTACCACAGGACCCGAGATCACTCAGCGTTTGTGCGAAGGCTTGGCTTGACTCATGTGCAGATTAGCCTGGCTTGCATGTCTGCAATTTCTACAATGCGCGCAGCGGAAATAGGAAACCCCTGAAAAGGGGACCTTTCTGGATGAGCTCGGTTTACTCCCAGTTAAGCTTGTGGTAGATATCCCAGATGCTTCGATGCGTTGCACCTGAAAGGTTTTCAGCGGTGTCCTTGCATTTGAGGGGTGTTTAGGGCCGTCGCTGTCTCCGCATGGCAGGAGGATGTTTTCGCAGAGCTGTCCAACCGCTTGTACTCCACGTTTCAGAACGCCGGAGACTCGGGGCCCCGATTCCGAATCGAACAGTCGACACGTGGTCTAGAGACATCCTCACCTGCCTTTAAGGGACGGTCCAAAGAGTTTTTTCAGATTTCGGTCAAAAGGCGCTTCTTGGTACCTGTAGGGATCAACCTCTTGGGGAATTGCGACAAGTTTTGGTAGCCGTACCTATGAGCATCAGGTTTGATGGCAGCACAAGACCGCCACGCACTTCCGCGTTCAAATTTAGGTTGGTTCTGGACCGATTCCATGGCCAAATCGTGAATGTGGCCAAGAGAACCCTACGCCAACCCGTTTGGTATCCTCCAAAACTATGTTTATCATTGAGGGTCTAAATATATTGTTTTCTGCGTACCCCGCCCCTTTTTCGTGCGCCAAGCTACCTGCTCGGCATACAAAGTGTATGTATACCTGCATCTAGCTTGTTTTTTTCTGAATGGGGGCGCTGTACTTGCTTTGGCGTCCATTTCGCGTTTTGGTTTACAGGCCCAAAATTGTGGTTGGTGGAACAAGCACCCTCAAATTTGAAAATCGCCTAACAGTTGTTGCCATGTCGCTCATCATGAAGCTTGCTGAGGTGGCTGCCGCGGTGCAGGAGGCTTTCCCGACAGCGGCGGTAGAGGCGGTCCCGAGATTGTCCTTGGTGTTTATTGGTCACCGCTTAGTTGCCACTTTGAGATTGTTTCCAACAAGCATGTCCTCCAGAAGGAAAGTAATCTTCCAAAGTCCTCTACGGATTTCGGAGTTGGTGGCTTGGATTGAGTTGGATTCGGATTGGAAGCCTACCGTTTGAAGTCAAATGGGGCAAGGTGCTCTTGACATTCCAACCACCAAACCAATTCACCAACTGGAGAGAAGCTGATTTGGGATGAGTTCTCATTCATGAGGGGGCTTCGATAGTCCAGACCTACAGTCGTGCCTTTTTTCGTCGGCGTTTCCCTTTACATCAACCACTAAATGGGTGTGTCTTTGTGTTTTTTTTGGAATCTGAAACACTACTACGCAAACGTTGGTTTTCCGGTTTCCTTTGCCAACCAAAAAGAGGGTTCCAACTCAAAAAAGACACCCAAATAAAAAGTTCCCTTTCCCCATGGGAATCCGCTGGGTTTCCTTGATAAGCTCCGGCTTTCCAGGTACCTGTATTTGGGCCTTGGATTCAACGCAAGCCAACACGAAATCGCATGGGCCCGGATCCCGATTTCAACAGTACCAGACCGCTGACATGCCGCCTGCTAAGGCAGGCACAGCTCTTTCAAGCCGCGTTTCGCCACAGACCGCGCAGGCTTGTTGCGATGTTGACATGCCCATTTTGGCAAATTGCGGCGGAACCAGCAAGAACGACACGGCGGTTTGTTGGAACAAAAGCTCACAGTGTGACGTTGAAGCGGGCCAGTGGGCAATCTAAGAAACCAGCAGGCGGTTGCTTACTAAAGGGGAGCCAAGCGCAAAATGTCCCCTTTCAACCAGAGCATGGGCCTTTCCCTTGTTATGTTTGTCCACGGATTTGGGATTAATTAGAACCCCTCAGTTGACAGGAAGCCACAGGAAACTAGCTTTCGAAAGGTTAATTCCTGGTTCTGGCTAGGTCGATCACAAACACATCCCCAATCCGTGACCTCCATTTTCAACAGTCCATCCACATGCATCGGGTGTTCCAGGCAAAGCACTCTTCGCCGCTGTCCAAGCCTGTGCTGGCCTCAGGCTACCACTTCCAGGAGTTCTTATACTTCCTATACTTCAGTTTCTGGTTTAAAGCCACACCTTTTGGGCCCATGATCCCCCCTTAGTAGGGGAATGATTTAAGAGGAAGTATAGGGAACCCCGACTTTCCATACAGTGCACTTGTGCCGACATTCGTCCCCGAGAACCTGTTGTTGTTTGCGCTGTGTTCTTCCCAAGACATTTCCTTTCATCATGACCAAAGCTTGTGGCCCAAGACACCCTCAAAAATGCTGGTGTCGCCGAGAGAGCCTCTGGGTGCCAAATCGATATTGTTTAGTTTGCCCAAAAGGACACCCCAAAGGCATGGGTAGGGTTATTTTTTCCACGCCCCCTATGCTGCACCCACACTACATCAGCATGCGCCAAAACTGGGGCCTCGTTTTGACACCTGTGCCCAATTGGAAAGGCAATGCCCTTTTTTACAGTCAAAACTCCTTCCTTCCTTCCTTCCTGAAGAGACCCTTTGATATGAACCACAAACCAGTAGAATATATATGGTATACATAATATGTCTACCGCAACGTACTTACAAGTTTAGTGAGATGACATCGAATACACTCACCAAGTTACCAAACGGGAAAACGGTGAGTAATCACGTAGTTTCCATGTCAGCTAGGGTAAATATGCAGTGTGTCTGATATGCGCAAATGACAAAGCTAAATTAGATTCATGTCTGCTGTTATTTTCGGGGCCCGAATTCCTGGCACAAACTCAGGGGGACACACCGAACTTACATGCTTTTTATGTGGGGAAAACTGGTAGTTTAGTCCGTGGGTCGTACGAGTTCCAGATGGTTCCAGGATCGGCCTCCTCACTGCCACGCAGATAATTTCATCAATATGCGGGGGGCCAAGCCAAAAGCGCGCCCTTGCGGCATGCAGAGAGAAGAAACGGTTGCCCAGACACCCAGTGGCGTGTGCCACACTTGGGATTGCCCTTGTCGTTACACCCTACCCAAAACAAGCCGCCCCTGGTTTCCCATGGAAATCCCCTGGGCTGAGATGACAGAGTAAACATCCGTGGTCAGACTGTGCTCGGGTCAGGGGCTGGTTCCCTTCAAGCACCATTATGTAGTGGGTAGTTAGCCAGCCGTTTCCTTTGGGTTTTTTAGAGCGCCAACCAGGTTTAACAAAAACGTGTTGGGCTGTCGTATCATGCTCGATGTTGGGATGTAAGTGTTCGAAGGTCTTTGCTCACCGGCTTCAGGGCTATGTTCTGTTCAGATTTGCTCCAAGATTCAGACCTTGAGTATTGACCAGGGCCGCCTTGTTCAAATGTGGGACGACTCGAACGACCAAGATTTGAATCCTGCAAGGATGTCTGTGTCCAGCTACGGACCCTTGAAATAGCAGCGGCTTCAGCATGAAGCTGCCTTGCAACAGGTTTTCCAGAAACGGTGCCCGCTGTACTTGGGAAAGGCAACTTGCAACCAAAGCGAATCGGGCCAAGTTTCCATTTGGAAGTGTTTTCCTGAGAGTACCTTGAGACAAACTTGTGCGAGCAACGGTCCATGTTTGTGCAACGTGCGACAGCAAATCAAATGCGCGGCATTGCGCGCACTCAGCAATTTCAGAAACGAGAATGAGGACAAACACCCAAATCCAATGTCACCTGGTCAAGCAAATTGTGACCTTCTGAGGGCAAGGTGTTTTACAGGGAAACCCCAAAGAAAACACCAGCTTTTCTCCGGCCAAATGTGATGATCCCCCGAAAATTTAGCCTCCCTTCAGAACACTCCTTTAAATGTATACCACCATGCATCCACTTCCAGAATTGTTGAAAAGACCCACTTGAAAGTTTCTGGGTAAAGGTCTATGTTGACAGCTGAAAAGGAGCCCCAAATCATCAGACGTTCATTACCGGGTGACCCGGGTGTTCCTCAAAATGCCTGTTTAAAGGGGAACGAACAAAATACCACAAAACAAGCAATTTCTTGGGCATGGGCTGTTTGAGAACCCTTATAGTCCATGAGCAGTCCAATAGTCAATGCTTCTTAGATCCATGGTCTCACCAACAATCGCCTCTCTCCGAGGCTCTCGCACCTCACGGAGAGCCTCACGCCGGACTCCGTCATGTGGCCTCACACGCCCTCCGAGGCAGATGTGTGGCCCTCGGCTTGACAGCGAGGGTGAGGCTCGGATCACCACAAGCATGGTTTCCCCGATAGCCGACATAGGGTCGAAGTAGTTGCTTCCCCCATTTCGTTGCCAGACTTGACTCACCTTTGCCTTTTTTTTTAGTTTTCTGCTTCACGGGCAAAATGTGCGCCACTTGTTGCAGAGGTCGCTTGGCAAGTCCCAGTTGCCCAGTGATGCCTTTTTTCCTTTTTTGGGGGGAAGGGAGTCCCTTTAAAGTCAACCAACCAAAAAAGGGTGCCCTCTTTTCCAATGGCCACTGGGCATCTGAGAGGGTGTCTTCGACCTTGTAGTTGGAATCCAATGGGAGAATCGAATCGAGGTGGTCGTCGAACACCTGCGCCTGACCGCTGAAGCGCCACTCGGCCGCGAGAAGCGCCGGTGTCCATGTCAGAGCTGGGTTGCCCCTAACAGCGGCCTTCAAAAGGTACACTTCGACAAGATCGACAGTTGCTCTTGGCAGTTGATGTAGCGGATTTCTAAAGCAGCTGGTTGTTGGATGTATCATTTAAGAACTCATGAGTGTATGTTTGGTTGTATAGAACCTTGAGATTTCAGGAGTGATTTCTGAGGGGTAATCCCCTTAGTGATTTCATTCGCCATGTGCATCCCACACTGGATCCGTGAAGTGGGCAATGAACCGTGGAGCTTAAGTCGGCAAGGACTTGAGCCTGGTCTTGGTTCCAGGCCTGCTTTTGGGTTGGTCAAGCGCCTCATGGTGCCTCTTTTTTGGGGGAACAACCGCCCTTTGGCGAAACACTTTCAACCTTTTGCCTTAGGCAAAACAGGGGTTTCAAACCTAAACACGTGTTTTTGTTGTTTGTCCCGTTGGCTTTCGGGAACCACAAAGACAACCATGTGTGTTGCTTCTTTTTTTTGGCAAGGTTAAGATAGGCCAAGTGTCCTTTGTGTGCCTCTCATTGCCCGTTCTGTTCGGGCACCCAGGCTTGCCTGGGGCGAGAGGAATGACCCGTACCTCTTTGAGCTCTTTTGTGAGCGCCAGGCGAGGTGCTTGTTCCTTGACTCGCTGGAGTGGGTCCCCCAAAAGTGCCATTAACCGGGATGGTCATCCACCTGGTAGGAAGGATCCTTAAAAACCATTGTAACGATTTCTGTTTAAGGGAACCAAGACCATCGGCCATATAAGGAGAGTGGAGCATGGCACAAGAAGGGTGTGTTTCTTCTTGAGGGTACCCCTTTCTTGGTGGTTCCCACAAGGTAAACATTTAGCTTTGTGGAAGGGAGAGCCGCCATTTGGGTGGTCCGTAAAGCAAGATGCACTCATGTTCCTCGGTTTCGCCTTTTCCAGCCTGCCAAGAGTGGGGGTTCTTAGTTGCTCTGAGCAGGGCCTTGCGAGGCACACTCCTGAAAATCAACATGGAGTAGCCCAAAGAAGAGAGCCCTACTGTTTGAGGATTGTATTTTTGCCTTGGACCTACTAAAAACGAGAGCACATGACATGGAGTCTGGGTGATTTAACCACTATGACTTAAACAACCTCCTTTGGATTTTTCTTTGAAGGGGGGGGGGCAGAGGGAACGATCGCCTAAACTACGAACGGAATCAAGTTGCACGTTTTAATTTTGGGGGGAGAGGCATTGCCTTTTTTGGGGATGATTTCTGCGATACCCCATGTAACTGTTAAAAGAAAGGTGATCAAGTTGGCATGGGATGGCCTACTATCACAGAAATGCGAACTGTGACAGCCTCTTGCCTTTTTGGTTTTCCATGATTTGCCTTTCAACCAGAAGAACGATAATTGGTGTTATGTCTCCAAATTGCTAAGATGTTTTCCCTCAAAACTAGTTCGTGGATAGGAATCACCTTGTAATTCAAAGGTGTCCACTTCCAAGGGTCAAAGGGTTAAGTTGCAGGTTCTACAGTGTTTTGGTAGGTTTTACAGGGTTTTGGTGGGTTTTAGATGGGATTTTCGGAGGGATGCGTTCAGTTTTGGGTGAGGTGCTGTCCTACTTCGTGGGAGCACTCCTCACCTCCCGGACCGCGCCTTCTGTGCGTCTCCAGCTCCTGCAGACCATGTGCCGCGGTCAAGGACTTCAGGGAATCTCGGGGTAGCTTCCATTCCATTCTCTCGCTTCCTCAGTTCAACTTTAAACTTTTTGGGTTTGGACCATTCTAGTGGTAAACAAAAAGAGGTTTGATTTTTTTGGGGCCATCCACTCAGCAAGTGAGTTCTTTCCTGGGATCCTTCTAGATTCTTTCTAGGGTTTCTTTCTAGGGGTTTATTCAAAAACCAGCCACCCTGGGGAAATCGCGATCGGTTTTTAAAAAGAAGGATGGCTGAAAATAATGGGGAATCAACCCCTAGAACAATCAAACTTGCCGGTTCTGGGCATGGCTCCTATGTTTCGAGTCGGTGCCCTTTTTGAGGTAACAGGAAACTTTAAAGCGAAACCCACCGTTTGGGGTCCCTTTAATAAGACACGCCGGAAGCAGGGGCTATAGGGAAGGGCTATCCCCTATTTAACCCTTCAAGGCCTCATCAGGGTGATCCTTTGACTTTATCTTAGGCTTCTCCAGGTACAACCCACCCCCAATATGTGGGTCGACCAACAACTCCCCAAAGGGCACGTGGTACCATTCGATAGCCCCTACTTAGGCGAGGAATGGTTGGCGGATCTCAGGAATTTCAATGTCTTTGGAATTTTCCCAGGAATCTCTGAAAGGTTAAGAGATGGGCAAGAATAATGTTCTCGGAATGAACCTCAGCCCCACGTCCTTTTTGGTTTGGTTTATATGGCACTTGACAGGGCTCTCCTTGTGCTGGGTGTTGGGAAGGTTGAGCCTGTGATACCCTCCCGTACACATCGGAGACTTGCTGCTCCAGTTTCAGGACTTGAGTCACTTTTCTGATCTTTTCTGGCTGATTTGTGGGTCTAACTTGAAGAGGGTGGCTTTTCAAGGTTTTCTTTTCGGCGCTCTCTCTTTTTGGGGCGGGAAATCCCACAGTTCCTCCATTCCCCCTTTTTCACCAAGGGAAAGAGGCAACAAATCTCGACTTTTGAACCCAGTAATCCCTAAACACCTCTAAACTATCATTTTGGAGGCCAAGCTGTTTGTCACTTTAGTGCACCCACTGAAAGTTCCCTCTGGCAACTGCGGTTCCGCTGACCGTGACGACGTGTTTGTTTTTCTACCATCCTAACGAGAGTGCTGAGACTTTCTGACTCCTTGGGTACAGGCACGCAGGCATGTGGCACCTTGTTGAGCAAGCCTCCAGCTAGGTTTGCCAAAAGAAGGTGGAAATTGCTCCTAGAATACCACCAAGTGGCTTTTAGTGCCAGACGGTCGGGTGGAATTCATGAAATGCCATGAGATGCCCCTGATGATGAGTGCAGAATTCTCTTGTCTGTGTCAGAGTGCATTGGCATCCTGACGAGATCACTGAGTCTGTCTGACTCACTGGGGTACAGGCATACGGGCATGTTGGCCCCTTGTTGAGTAAGAGTGGAACTTGGCTTGTCAACAGCAGTGCAGGTTGCTCTTAGATGTGTATTGTCAGACGAAGTGTGAATTTAGGAAGCACAACCACGCATGTCAGCGACATGAAATGCCATGAGATGCCCCTGATGATGAGTGCAGAATTCTCTTGGCTGTGTCAGAGTGCATTGGCATCCTGACGAGATCACTGAGTCTTTCTGACTCACTGGGGTGCAGGCATACGAGCATGTTGGCCCCTTGTTGAGTAAGAGTCGAACTTGGCTTGTTAAGAGCTGTGCACGTTACTCATAGTTTTTGTTTGTTGGACGAAGTGTGGATTTAAAAATCAACAAGCACGCATGTCAGCGACATGAAATGCCATGAGATGCCCCTCATGATGAGTGCAAAATTATCTTGTCTGTGTCAGAGTGCATTGGCATCCTGACAAGATCACTGAGTCTTTCTGACTCACTGGGGTACAGGCATACGGGCATGTTGGCACCTTGTTGAGTAAGAGTCGAACTTGGCTTGTCAACAGCAGTGCAGGTTGCTCTTAGATGTTTATTGTCAGACGAAGTGTGAATTTAGGAAGCACAAACACGCATGTCAGCGACATGAAATGCCATGAGATGCCCCTGATGATGAGTGCAGAATTCTCTTGGCTGTGTCAGAGTGCATTGGCATCCTGACGAGATCACTGAGTCTTTCTGACTCACTGGGGTACAGGCATACGGGCATGTTGGCACCTTGTTGAGCAAGAGTCGAACTTGGCTTGTCAACAGCAGTGCAGGTTGCTCTTAGATTTTTATTGTCCGACGAAGTGTGGATTGAGGAAACACAAACACGCATGTCAGCGACATGAAATGCCATGAGATGCCCCTGATGAGGAGTGCAGAATTATCTTGGCTGTGTCAGAGTGCGTTGGCATCCTGACGAGATCACTGAGTCTTTCTGACTCACTGGGGTACAGGCATATTGGCATGTTGGCACCTTGTTGAGTAAGAGTCGAACTTGGCTTGTCAACAGCAGTGCAGGTTGCTCTTAGATGTTTATTGTCAGACGAATTGTGGATTTAGGAAACACAAACACGCATGTCAGCGACATGAAAATGCCATGAGATGCCCCTGATGATGAGTGCAGAATTCTCTTGGCTGTGTCAGAGTGCATTGGTAGTCAGAGTGCGTTGGCATCCTGACAAACTTGGCTTGTCAAGAGCCACGCTGGCTTGCTGTTAAGATGCCATGAGGTGACTTGTGAGTGTCGGACAACGCATGAGCTGCCACGAGATGCCCCGGATGATGATGTGCAGAATTCTCTTGGCTGTGTCAGAGTGCCTTGGCATCCTGACAAGATCACAGAGTCTTTCCGACTCAGTGGGGTACAGGGGTTGCAGACATGCTGGCACTTTGTTGAGCAAACGCCATTCTTGCCTGTGGCTGAGAACACATGAAATGCCAACGAATGCCAGCGACATGACTTGCCATGACATGCCCCTGATGAGGAGTGCAGGATTCTCTTGGCTGTGTCAGAGTGCAGTTGCATCCTGACGAGATCACTGAGTCTTTCTGACTCACTGGGGTAGAGGCACACGGACATGTTGGCACCTTGTTGAGCAAACACCAGGCTGGCCTTGTCGAGAGCTACACTGGCTTGCTTTAAGGATACCGTTGCATGACCAGTCTGAGGTTGCTTTGTGTTTTCCAGACAAACAACATATGCACAACGCAAAAGTATTGTGTTCAGAGTAGGCTGCCGGCATTGTTTCTGCACACTTAATTTCGCGCCCCTATCTTTTAGCAGGTGAGTTTTTGCAAGCATGCCGGCAGTATGCCGGCCCTGTTCGGGAGAGGGACATTTGCCGGGCCTAGGTGCATACTTGTCCAGAATGTGACTTGCCCGCAGTGATGGGTCAGAAAGGGCAAGGGCAGAGTTGACGGAGAATAAGCCGCGGTCATCGTCAGGATATGAGGTTCGGTCAAGATATACAGCACTCCATGCTCCATTTATTTGTGAGGGGCGCGGGTTGAACCAGGGACCTCTGAGACTCCTCTAAGTTGTGCATGTCCATAGATGGTGTTGCAATTTTTGACCAGGGTATGGATCATCCGGAAGTGGAGCTTTGGAGGCCCGCCGGGAGACATCGTTTTACTACTTGCTGAGCGGCAGCCAGTTGAACAAGCTGCTGACTGGCCAGTGCAGGCCTCGGCTGACCGGATGTCGTTCAATCAGGCATGGATTTTGGCCCTCTAAAGGATGTTCCTGCAAAGGGACTTGAACAGGGAAGTGCAAGTTGTGCATTCAACCAGCTGCATGTTTGCTCTATTGCCCAGCTACGTTCCACTTGTTGCCAGCTGAGGCCGGAGCTTCCAAACGAGGAATGCTTGGCGAGGACCTGAGCAGAAAATCCCAATTTTTCTTTGCACCTCACACGGGCCGCGAAGCAACTTCATCCAACTTTGCTGCGTGTTTTGTGCGCCGACATCAGGGCCACTTGCTGCAATGGTCAAGAGGAAGCCGAGCATTGCAGCAATCAATCAGGGAAATTGTTTCCTTCAATTGCAAGGGGAAACTCTAAAATCGAGCCAAGCCGTTTTCCGCCAAAGCAGCCCCTTTTCTTCCTAGGCTAAGCAAGCAAGATGTTTGGCCTTCACTGACAAAGTTGGGACCTTCCCAGAGCACAAGTTGCAATGCGTTGGCCCAAGTTTTTGTTTGTTTATATGCCCGGTGGACTTAAGCCCCGGATTTCGGTGTGGATTTTAAGTGGGGACCCTCTAGTGGACATCAGAATTGGGGTGAACAATTTTGGACATACAGCGCGCCACCTACTGTCAGTTCGCACCCTCACCCTCAAGGTTCCTTCGCGTCTCCATGTCTTATTTCAGGTGGGTGAGTCAAGAACAGCGTGTGTGTGTGTGTGTGTGTGTGTGTGTGTGTGTGTGTGTGTGTGTGTGTGTGTGTGTGTGTGTGTGTGTGTGTGTGTGTGTGTGTGTGTGTGTGTGTGTGTGTGTGTGTGTGTGTGTGTGTGTGTGTGTGTGTGTGTGTGTGTGTGTGTGTGTGTGTGTGTGTGTGTGTGTGTGTGTGTGTGTGTGTGTGTGTGTGTGTGTGTGTGTGTGTGTGTGTGTGTGTGTGTGTGTGTGTGTGTGTGTGTGTGTGTGTGTGTGTGTGTGTGTGTGTGTGTGTGTGTGTGCGTGTGTTCCCTTGGTGTCTTTGACATCACCATTTACAGGGTTCTAATGTTTTAGTTGTATTTTGCCCATCCCTGGCTTCACTGGACTTGGAACATTCACCAGTGGTTTCAAAGACGCTACGAACCTTCAAGGCTCATACCCAAGTCGGCTACATTGGTGGTATACATGGCGCACATGTCAGGGTATGGCCACTCTGAAACCCTTGACATCACTGCTTTTCATTGACCTGGCAATGGTCGGCTTACTGGAGTTCCACCTCGAAAGTTGCAAAAACAAGTCTTCCCTTTGTTCGGGGCAACCCCGCCGATCACATATATATATATAGATATATGCAAGGTTGATGTCAATGTGTGCCTGGGTAAGAGATGTCAATGTGTGCCTGGGTAAGACATAAATCCTTTCTTTTTTGGGGGGCGAGAATGGGATCCCCAAAGACAAGATTTCTTTCGGGGGGGTGCCTTCAGAAAGGGTCCAATTTCTCAGGGGCCAGTTCCTGAAAAAGGAAACCTTGCATGGCCACCCTCAAAGGGGAGCCGCAAGGAGGTTGGTTAAGCACTGTGGATGCGCAATATGTCCTGCACCAGTGGAACCGATGAAGCTTGGCTGTGATAAACCACTTGCTGCGAAATTATTATTTTTTCTATCAGGGGTAGCACCAAGTCCCATTTCGCACCAAAGGTGTAGCATCTTAAAAAGCGGTGGGTCCCAACACCGAGCCCTAGGCCTACTTTGTGGCCCTTGTGAAGGGCGTGGCCCTGCGGGTGGACAACGAGCTGAGCCCTCAGTTTTCGCGACCGGTCCGAGTGGGACTGAACCGCACTGCTTGGGTTTGCCTTGGGATTTGGCCATAGGTCAAAATCCAAATCGCACCCCCTATCCCACCACTAAAATAGACTAAAAATGGGTGGTGCACCTACCCGAAAATGGGATCCCATTGGTTTTGACCCACAGCCATTTGAACCCCCAAACCCCAAAGTGGTTGGTTTCCTTTTGGGTTTCCCTTTAAAGCAGCCCAAAGAGGGTACCGAGCCTCAAGAAGGACGCCCGGGCCGAAAAGTGGCGTTGAATGGTTTGATGAGTTGCGTTTGGTAAAGATAGACCAGGCTATGCTGCATGTGGTTTAAGGGGTTTATTTCATGTGTGGTCTTTGTTGCCTTTCCCAAAGGGAGGTGCTTGCCAGTGGGGACAGTGTGTTTTGCGGGGGGAGGGTATCAACACGGACGGCATGACAAGATACCATGCATAAAATGAATGTTGCCAACACCAGAAAACACAACACATTCAGGCACCACATCCAGGTCACAAAGCAACACAGCCACTCACACTTTGAAGGTGGTATTTGGGTTGGGTAGATGCGGGAGATGCGGGACCCTTTTTTCCAACCCACCTTTTTATTGACCTCCGTTTCGAAGAAAAACTTGTGGTTCTTGTAAACACTGGGCCCGAAAGTGTGTCGAGCCATCCGATCCAAGGACTGCTCCGTTGCTGCTCACGCACCATCCAGCTGCTCAGCTGAAGGTTGACCCCAAAACGTCAGGATTTGGGTGTTTTTGATGTCACCCTAAAAAAGACAGGACACCGAAAAATGAAAGCACGTGACAGTCCTGGCGCACTAAGCCTTGGTTCCAAGTGGACTTTTAGCTTGGACTTTAGAGGGCTTGATGATATGCTCTTTTTTCTTCTGTTGGTCTCGTTTTTTTTGCGCCACCCCGAGAAGGGTTCCCTCAACACAGCACGAGCGTCCAAGGTCCAGGAGCCTGGCCTTGAGGCATGGGAGGGACATGGGGGACACTCCCACTTCGCCGCAGAGAAAGAGCCAAACAATTGTCCGTGGGAATGGGGTGTCAAGGTTCCGAAACCGTTTCTCCCAGTGGGCTTGAAAAAGAATGGTCTCCGATTTGGCCAATTTGGGGACACTCTTACATGTCCTGATACAAGCCCAAGCAGGATACTGGACGGGAGCACAGTCCTTGATTGAGTGGGAATTGCAGAGAGGACTCACAATATAAAGCTTTGTGGCCAGGTTGTTCGAAGAAAAGTCAGTTTTTTTGTTGGTGGTATTGAAGCGGTAACAAGAAGCCAACCCAATGCCGGTCGTTGCCGATTTGGACCCCCTATCTCATGAACGTTTCAGCTGGAGCTGATTCCAACATCCAGGTTTTTCCTTTTCAGGGGGTCACAATGTGTTGTCAATCATCTTACTCGAGTCATGTTCCAGTGTGAACCATTACCCTGGTTGCTGGGGAAGGTGTTCATATCCCAACTCTTGATCTCACACATTCGGTGCGGCGTTTCCCCGTGACTCCTTTTTGAGCCCTTTGGGTCGGTGGACTATGACCATCCGATGTGTGCAACATGTGACGGCTTCAACCCGTTTGCCCAAGTCCAGCACCCCAACCGCCGCTTTGGACAGTACTTGTGATTTTGGACAGGGGAAGCAGTGGTTCGGGGGTCTTGGGAGCCTTCGCTTGTTTAGATTTGAACAGGAAGGTCTAGGGTTGGTTTAGGGCTAGTTTAGGGTTGGTTTAGGGTTGGTTGACGGTTGGTTTAGGACTGCTTTTTTCTCCAGAGCCCGATGTTTTTGGTCTCCACCTGCATGTTTGTTTTGCGCCAGGCACGGTCCAGGTGCATCTTCCCGCTCTTCCAGCAGGACCTTGGGCTGGGGACATTTCCTTGCTGATCCTGAAAGTTAGACAGCCAGTGTGATAACCTATGCCTCCATTTTGGGGTGGATGAAAACCCATTTGCCACCTATCTTGATGTTTACCAGGGGTACAGGGTTTTGACCCACAGCCATATGGCACATCTGGCCTTCGCCAAAAGTGTCCCGCGCAGTTTCAGAAGTTTGCAGTGTCCAAGGGAAATTTTCGCTACATCCGGAGTGCTCAGCAAGGGAAAGGCGGACACATGGAAAGTCAGCGTCCCAAGCAATAGAAACCCCGTGTGAATGCGCCAAGCCCCTTGTTTTTGGTCGGTGTCTCTCTTTCCCTGTTTCTGGACAATATATTTTTTGAGACAACCATTTTGGTGGCGGGCGAGTTTCGGCCAGGAAATGAGCCCCCCCTTTCCGGGGTTTACGCGAATTTCGACCATGTGATATGTTGGGATAGACAAACAATGAAACAGGATTTGCAAATATCACGTTTTGGGCACCCCCGACGTGGGCCAAAATCCAATCAACATGACAAGGGTAGCCTGAGAAAAGACAAGGCTAAAAGTTACCCTTTTCGGGTTTTACAAGAAAGCCTAAAGAGAATCACAAATTCTGAGAGGACCTTGAGACATCTTGAGACATCTTCCATGTTGCGCGCGAGAGCCTCCCGTCTTGCTAGGCCACGTCTATGGCGACCCACAAGGATCACATGGCGCGGACCTCCGCCAGGACAGCCTACCTCTGTGGCTCGGCAGATGTGTGCTGCTGATTTGGATACAATGCGCCAAGCACGGGCTTAGGCTTGGAGTGTTCAATATTTATATATATATATATATATACACATATGGCCGTGATTTTTTCCAGGGGTCTGTAACAGAGCCGCGGCGGACATTCGCTACAGACCTCATTACAGACCTCTGTAACAAGCCCCGCTGCCTCGTTACACACCCCTCGTTACACACCCACGTTACACACCTCAGATGAAGAAGCCGCTTGGCTCGTTGCATGCTCCTCGTTACATACTCCAACGCATGCACACGCTCAGTGATTTCCATGGTGCCTGCGGAGCGGACTTTGCAGAGCAAGCTTTTGCTGAAGAGTCAACTTGCAGAGAGCTTGCCAACAGGGGCCGCTAGACCTTGTTGCATAGCCGTTACATACCTTGTTGCAGACCCCAGCCCGGGCCAGCGACCCCCCTGTTTGCTGCAGCTCGGCTCGCGTTGAATAGCTGCAATGAGGTGGAGCTGCGGAGGCGTGCTTTGCGTACTGCGCTTTACTTTGCCTTGTTACATAGCCGTTACGTATCTCGTTACAGGCCCAATCCCAGCCCGGGCTTGCTGGAGCTGCGGAGGCGCGCTTTGCATACTGCGCTTTGCTTTGCTTCGTTACACACCTCGTTGCATAGGCGTTACATACCTTGTTACAGACCCAACCCCAGCCCATGCCAGTGACCCCCCTTTCTGTCATGGCTTGGCTTTGCATTGGCAGTTGCAAATTTCAAGCTGGAGCTGCGGAGGTGTGCTTTGCGTACTGCGCTTCTGCTGAAGAGTTGCGACTTTCGGGCGGGAGCTGCTGCTCTTCGTTGTTCTACGCAAATTGTGCCACTCATACTGGTACTTGTCAAGAAATGCTTTTTTCCGTTGCAGACCTGCGTAACAAGGGCCTCCGTTGCAGACCTCCGTAACAAGATGCGTGGCGCGTCGCGCGCTACAGGCCCCCCCAAAAACCATAGCCATATGTATATATATATATATATATGTATGTGCATGTATGTGCACACACATGGGTGTAATTATGTGTATGTATGTGTAGGTATGTGTATGTATATATAATTATGTGTATATATATACGTATATGTATAGTGTATGTATATACATATATGTATTTGTGAATGTGTATATATATATATGCTGAATCCTTTCTCCAGATCTTTCGGTCTCGGACGGAACATCGGGATCCGGGACTTCAATTTGGACTCTAAGCTGTACTTGTCTCTGTTATCCTAGTTGGATTATGGCAGTCTTAGGGTTTATTGTTTATCCCAACTGGTGCGAACTGAATTTTATTGTGTCTCCTCCAAACAATGCTCGTCTTTTTACAGGTGGCTGAATATGCAACTCCAAGGGTTTTTGTATTACAATCTGGGAATACACCAATCATTTCCCAAGTGTACTACAAGAACCCTCAGAGAAACAGAGCCACCCCTTTGTGGGGCCACCTGAGCCACAATCAAACCTGGGTAGATGAAGGTTAGTAAGGGACAGTCCCAACCATAAATAGCTGCAGATATCCGCCTTCTTAATTCTTGAAGCATGGTTCTGGGTCGACCATTTTACCACCGGGCTTGGGACCCTCAAGCCCTCAGACCCATCCCTCGTCGGAGCCTCCGGGCCACCTACAGGTCTTTGGTGCATTTTGCTTGGCTGTTGGGACTTTAACTTTTTGCTAACTCGTGGGTTTTCCGAATTAAACCACTAAAAGTTAAACTTTTAGCAGGGGTGCAAAAAGCAACCGAGAGGTCGTTGTTCCGATCCGAACGAGGCTTGCTGCGCCTGGAGAACCACCAGGTCCGCAACGCGGCCATGGAGGCGGAGTCATCCCACATGGCGGACCCCGTTTTGGTTTCCCATGGGTTTGAAGGGAAAGCAGGAGGACAACCACCTTTCTAGGGTTAGCCTAGCTGACTATATATTTATATATGGGGTACCCCCCAAGAAAAACCCACGCCCCAAGAGAATTCGGCAGTATTTGCACTACTGTTGGGTGATTTCCGCCCCCTGTTTAGGCACCGCAATTTTGACCATCTAACTGTGCCTGTAGTTGCCATTTGACCCACGTAAAACGCTTCGAAGTGCTTTAGAGCACTTTTGGATCCAAGATGTAAGATTCCCAGGACTCCCCCAAAACGCGTTAAAGGGCTTTAGAGCACTTCTGGATTCCCAGGACTCTAGATCTGGAATCTTGAATCCAGTATGGGCCCTGGAATCGGTGGTAGCGTCCCCATGGTTTTTCGGGGTGGTTCAGCTGCACTCCTGTGGCTTCTCGTTTGGTGGCCACTGCAATCGTCCAAAATCCCCAGCTGATACGGCAGTCATGTTCTCATCGGCCGCATCGGTATGTCAGTGTTCATTTTTTCCGCCATGAGCGGTGTCATCTCGAAGGGTTTTCTTGCTAGCAGGGAATGGGAAATGGAATGCCCCCCCCCCTTTTCCATCCAAGTGGTGGGTCCTCAGACGTGGGTGGCCGGGTTCGCTTCGTTCAAACGTCCATCCCAGGTCACCGAGCCGTCGCTTCAGGTGGCGCATGCCCAACTCATCCCACGGCTGGCCGACAGTTTGCGCGCCTCCTGGGCCGTAGGCTCAGATCCGGCGGTTGGCAGAGAATCTCTGGAGCCACAGAAAAGACTGGGAAGAAGAAGCCAACCATTTTAAAGGTCTCCCACTTTGATTCCCCCAGTTTGATATGTGGTTGTGGGATGCCTTTGCCTGGTCAGGTGAAGGGAAAGCAAAAAAGCCACCATTTTGGAGGTCCGCCAATTTTTGACTTACATACCCATATGTGAGTCTTTGAGCCCAATGCCTTCGCTTTCAGCCACCGCTACAGATACAGATCGTAGATGTATTCGTGGTTGTGAGAATCTGTGTTGTCTTTAGGTTGCCATTCCTGTGATAAGTGGATCCCCGTTACAGTCGCAAAGCAGTCGCGGAGATGGGGGAACTAGCCACTTCAAAGTATCGCAATAAGGGAAATTTGCCACAATAGTGAGTGCCAAGGACGGGAGGCATTCCGAAAATGTCTGACACAGTTGCCACTACCCCAAAAGCCCCTACAGGGGTTAGTGGGCTAGATGTCCACAATGTAGCCACTGTATATGCATGTAACGGGCATATACCCAGTTATTTGCTGGGGGTAGTGGTTTGGGGGTAGTGGAAACCCTCCTTGGCAGGACGAAACTGTAGTTAGTTATTAATGTCGGCACCCAGTGACTGCCAAACTAAAAGTTGTTTTGCGCTTGGCTAGGATTGGGAGAATTGAATGTGATCAGGATCTCTCTGCGGGAATACAGGCACATGCGGTTCTTTGCTTTGGATTCCACTTTTGACGAGTCTTTGACCGTGGGCTTGATTCCTGCGAGTCATGAAAGTTAGGGTCTTGGGCATAGCTGTGAATTGGTCTTGTCGGAATTTTAAAGGACGTAGGAAAATTCCACGACTGCAAGCGCGAGCTTCAAGTATGTGCGACCTCTTTGTTACAGACTCCGTGCGCAAAAACCCTGTCTTCTAACGACACAACAAAAGAGGGACTTTGTTGATTCTTGATGTTCTTGTTGGTTTCAAATGGAGGATCAGCCAAAGGTATAAGCTGCTTCTTTCAGCGTCGGACACTCGCTTGGGTATGTCCTGTTGGAGTTGGGTACCGTTTTGTTTTTGTTATTTTTCTCCGGTGGGTTTTAGAGCGGAGCCAAAAGAACAAAATCGCCGGTGAAACGTTTCCCAGGCCTCCATGGCTCTGGCGGTGCACCGTGGAGAGATGGACTGCTTCCGTGCAGCCCTGGACCTTGAGGAGGTGCGCTCAACTTAACAGGAAAATCATGGGAAAACCCCTTGAGGAGGTATGGGAAAACCCCAAGACAGGGGGGGTTTAGTGGAACAACGGATCTTTCTTTAGCTTTTTGGTTGAAAACTCATGCAAGGGTTTTTCCACGAATTAAACACCCGAAAAGTTAAACTTTTTGCAGGGGGGTCGTTGCAGCAACCAAGTCAAGGCTTCGAGAAAATTGGAGCGACCCCGAAACCATGGCCGAAGATGATGAAGGAACCAAAACGGACAAGGCACCCAACCCGTGCTTGAGTCCCGCGAAAGGAAGCTTTTTTGTTTGCAGACTCTTACCAATATTTTTGGGTCTATGTTAATCTTA